TGGTCCAGTGTTCCGCGACCAGGACGAAAACCGCATAATAACATAATGGAAGTTAATCCTATTGGTGCTGCAAATCTGTAGCAAGTGAGGACACAGCAGACGAGATAATGATACTGCAAAACAATCTCAATCTGTCACGTCCACTCTATTCTCCCACTGTGGTTATTTAAAGGGATATTGGCTGTGCTGCCAGATCCTGAAATATTATACCACTGTGTGCCACAGAGCTCAAAAATACTTTAAAAACCTATACGAGAACATTTACGTCACTCTTTTGCAAAAGAACTGTGGTTTATTTTGAGATTATCCCACTGTCCTGCTGCTCGAAAAACTCATAGAGACCAAAATAACTGTTAATGTGTAGCTGAAAGTCGTCATAAACGCCTGCTTCAGTAAGATTTTCCAAAATGTAAAGAGGCCTCTTTAAGTGCGTGCCTGAATTTCTGTTGCTTGACTCCATTTAAGCTGAAAAAAGTCATTTCCTTTCATTCATGTTTGACTGAGACCTTGCTGCAAATATTTCAACAAAATGCTGCGTTATCTTTGCACGGTGGGGCTGCAAAATAATTTAGCATTCCTCCTTGTCAACACATGCACAAATGAACCGATTAGTTGTGTGCATTAGTCATTTTTTTGCAGACTGAAAGCATAACTTTGTGGTGATTGAGTCAGACTCTAGGGAATTTGCAGTGGCATTGTTGTTACTCCAAAACTTTGTTGCTTGTTGCTAAACACTTAATTGGCTGAAAAAGCTGAGAGGAGACAGCAGCTCATACTCATAACACTAGAAAGCTAGAACAAGAAAACTAATTAAAAGGCATTGGCTTTCACATTTTTTATACCTTAAAGCAGAGGTGTCCACCTCCAGGCTTCAAGTACCAGTGTCCTGCAGGTTTTAGATATCACCCTGGGTCAACACACCTAAATCACATGATTAGTTCATCACCAGGCCTCTGGAGAACTTCAGGACATGTTCAGGAGGTAATTTAGCCATTTAAATCAGCTGTGTTGGATCAAGGACACATCTAAAACCTGCAGGACACCGGCCCTTGAGGCTTGCAGTTGGACATCCCTGCTTTAAAGCATGCTGGTAAATACCCATAACTAACTGGGAGCTTTTATTTTGAAAAGCAGTGACTCTTAAGATGTAAACTACATGGTTTTATTTTGAAAATACCGTAGTGTCAAAGCATCTTGATGTCTAAAGAGTAATTGGATGTTTTATGGTGAAAAGAAAAAAAGTGTGACTTTAAAGCACTTTATTAGCTTTTATTTATTTTTTAAAATCAGATTTCATCCTAACAGAGGTGCTTTCTGCTGCCCCCCTTGTATTTCAAGGGGTTGCCACACTGGATGAATGTGCATATTAATTTGGAACAGACGTTACCAGATGCCCCTGGGACCGGCCTAGGAGTGCATTAGCTTGCGACCACTAAGGCTGGACGTGTTTCTCGATCTTTGCATGTAAGGTGAATGTGTTTACCACTACAGCTCTGAGCCACCAGCTGTGGGCACCTTGGTATTTTCCCATATATAAGTGAGGGTTCTGTCATTTCCACAGCTGGTCCATCATGTTATTGTCTCCCCAAAATCTCACAAATACAGTTTGTGAGATTTTGGGTGTTTTTTTCTACTTCCCTTGTGCATTTTACATTTGCCCCACCACGATACATGTCGGTTTACACAAAATGTTATAACTGTAAAATTAGTTGTATCTGGCTAATACCTGAATACTCTGCGCGTGTGTCGTATCCAGGGCCGGGATTACTGCTCAGAAGAGGAGGATATGACATAACCCCGTTGTCACAAATCCACACGTCCCAGTATGAGAAACTGTCCAGCATTATGGATAGACTGTGTCCCAGAGGACTCTTTGATGTATGTGCACGCCCGAGAAGGAAGGAGTATTGAAACTAGCACTTTTTTCTTTTTGCCCTCCTGCCACTACCCACTCGTCTGACCAAGTTCCAGAAAGATCATGACAGAAATCAGCGCCGTGGTTCTCCCAAGAGTGACATGAGATTTGAAGCCATTACAGGGTAACGGAGGATCTAACACTTTTCTTTCCTTGCTGGAATTTCTCAGTATAAATAGCTGTCACCGAGACTTACTATACACATGTGAAAGACGCAGGCTGCTGTCAGTGTGAATTTCCGGCAACAGGAACAACCACTGCTCTTGTGGACACTGACTCAAATAGAAAATAATGCCCTTGCATCGTTTAATCCTTGAAAGCCTCTGCGACAAGTCAACGGGTTGGAAACTTCCTGCATTCCAAGACGCAGTACAGACCTCTTTTCTACAGTATGTTGGCCACTCCAGTGTTTGTCTGCTCATATTTGTTTCTGTTCTGATGTAGAGTATTTATGTTGAATAAGGCTCAGGGTTGAAGTGTTGTAATCTTTGTCTCATGTAGTTAAGTCTTTCCCCTCATTAGAACACTGTTACACCATTAAAAGACGCACACACACACACGCTGTCACACATGGGTTACAGATAGAGCCCTCTCTAGTGTCTGATTCATATAAGCCTAAGAGGTGAACACCACAACTTCACACAAGTCTCATTATGTATCTGATTCACCGGTGTTATGTTGTTGTGTTCGGTTTCTTTGTTTTGGGGTTTTTTTTTTGGTTTTCTAGGAAAAATAAAAGTGATTTAAGTAATTTATTCCCATTGTTGTGTTGTTTTTAAAACAACCTGATGGCAATAGCCATGATGAATTATTTTACGAATTATTTTACTATGTCAACCACTTGTAGTAAATACAACCGTACTATAAAAGTGCACTGTAACTAGTGAAAACACTGGAATTGGGAGATACGATCATTTGTAGACAGCTCTTTGAGATGGACTCAGTGTTGAGAGTTGTTGCAGTATATAGGAGCATCAGTACTTTTCTGTAAAACCATTTTCATCCACTCGTCTTTACAACATTGCTTCAGTTCATGAAGGTTTAATCAGGTTGAGGTCTGGGCTTTGACTTGGTCATTGCAACACCTTGATTGTTTTCTTTTTCAGCCGTTCTGTTGTAAATCTGCTGCTGTGCTTGGGATCATTGTACTGCTGCGTGACCCGTTTTTTGCTGTCGCTCAGATGGCCACATTTTACTATAGTATACTTTGGTGGAGTTCATGGTCGACACATCAGTGGCTGCAAGGTGCTCCTGTAGCTACAAAATAAGCCCAAATCATCACCCCTCCACCACCGTGCTTGACAGTTTGTAGGCGGTCTCTGTGCTGGTATGCCGTTTGGTTTTCAACGTGTGGAAAAATATCTCCACTTTGGCTTCATCTGTTCAGAGGACGTTGTTGCCCAAGTCTTGTGTTTGTTCAGATGGAGCTGGGCTGGGATGTTCTGTCAAAGTGAGCAGGTCTTCTGCCAACTTTTCCAAACAAGCTGTACTTGGTCAGTCTGTTTCTAACTTTACTGTCATGAAGTTTAACATGTTACACGCTGAGGCTGATGTAGAGTCTGAGACTGCACGGTCTGAGTTTACTGAGATGTCCACTGCTTAGATCGAATCATTATGCATCTTTCTCACAGGAGGAGGATGGACATCAAAGTGTTTGTAACTCTTCCCAGATTGATGAGCAGCAATAATTACTTATTTAATATCACTGTCGACATCTTTCATTCTTTGCGCTGACAAGATCGTCAGTGCTCTCTGGTGGACACAATATTTAATGGCCTCAATTTCAAAATCATTGCAAGCACAACTTGTGCTTGTTTTTTAAATTAATGGCAAACACACTACATATACACCAATACAGGTATTTCTGCACTGCACTCCAAAATTAATAAAGGATTTTTTTTGGCTATTTTTTTGTTACTTATAAAGTCTACAAACTGAAGCAGGAAACGATTTGCCACTTTTATCGACAAGCTGAGTTAGTTGCTAACCCAGGAGCCATTTTTGTTACTAACATTAACAAAAGCTCTGCATTTAGTAACACCTGTTTACTTACCATTTCCAGCCAAAATGCCTGCTGTGGAAAAATACCTTTAACCGCAAATCACACTTCAGGGTTGGCACCAAGTTTTTAAAGAATAAAACAATGTTTACCTTAGGTCCTTTTTAAAAAAAAAAAATTAAGAAAGAATACATTTGAAGCTTTTAGTCTTTCTCACACCTGATGTTTATTTCAAAATAAGGCACATTTGTTTTAAAAAATAAATAAAACAATCACTGACATTTATAGTAGGTCTTAATAATTGTGTTTAAGGGATTATTGTCAAAAACCAATGTGCTGACATGGATTACAAACCATAGGCGTAAATTTCAGGGGGACACGTGCACCTCCCCAAAATATTAGACTTGAGACACTATGACCTTGTGTCTCCTTTTTGTGTTGTTTTTTTTACACAAACAGAGACATTTCCCTCATGAACAGATGCAGAAAAGTTACAGAATGAACCAGAAAGTAATGAAATGAAGTGTCCGATCTAACCAACTGGACAGCTTTGGAAAATTCAAGGAGTGCATAGATTATGAACTTTTAGCTGTATTTTCATAAGTGTTACAGCTTTGCCATTCACACATCAAAGTAATTAACTTTCAGATAAACAATTAAACGACAAATAAGTTTCTGTTTTCCTACTATCTACTATAGAAATGTCTGTTTTTGTTTTACAACAAACAAATAAAGATCATTTTCCTTGAATTAACAAAAAATGTATACTTTATATTTGCAGGACAGTCTAGGTAATGAACTACCTTTTCAGGAACTACTTTTCCTGTAATTTATCACATATACTCACTGGCAAAGCTGTAAGCTTTGTGGATGCTGACTCATCCGGCCCCACTGAAAGGTTTCTTTGGAGGCATGGAAACGAGATATGGCATCCCTGATTTCATTGTGAAAGCTTCTAGTCAACTCTGTAGTGTGCATACACCGCAGCAAACAAACCAAACCACTCCATATATTGTAACAGGAGCTCAACTGTCATTAAAAAAGGAATGTTACTTCTAATCTCTGCACCCTTTTCTTAAGGTTAATTTTATCTCTTTTCGCCTTAAACTCTCAACATGCATCTGAGATGAACTTCACGATGCCAGAGGTTGCCACAAGGTCATCCTAACAATCACATACTCCCCCTGAAGGGGTCCTGTGGGGCTCTTTTCCATCTTTGAGCGATTCATCACATTCTCAGTCAGCTGCTCAGCGCTGCTGCCGCCTCTTCCGGTGCTGCCGGCGTCCCATATCTTGAAAAGGTCCTACAGGAGGGTCTGGTGTCACCAGGCCATCCGTCATCCTCTGGTAGACCAGCGTGGAGTCAGCTGCTACTGCACACAGCAGCACAGGAAAGCCCCTGTCCAGGACGTGTCGTATGCTGCACAGCAGAGAAGGAAGAAGCCGTAAGATTCAGAGGTTTGGCAGGGTAACCTGTGAGGGTAAAAGTGTGGGAGCTTGACCAGTGTCTTAACACCTTTTGTGAGTCACAGACTGGTGAGCGGGCAGGGGGAGGATCGTCAGAGTGGGTGCTCCTTCCTTCTCCCTCGCTTCCAGTAAAACCACCTGCAGCTCAGAACTCTTCACGCAGGACACCTCCTTCCAGCGCCGCACTGCAGAGAGCAAGAAGCCCAGTGTGAGTGTGAGCCTAAGTTATGACATCAAGTTTTTCTTCCTGTAAGAAAGGAATTAGAGCTGGGAGATGTAAGGAGTCCAGGATACGCCACACAGGGAATCTCAAACTGACTCCCGTGTTTCAGAACCCTGCCAAACTCACCCTCAGTAAGATCCATGTACACAAGAAAAGCTGCATGCACCTGAGCGCTGTCCTCAATCTGCAGGTCCTTCATCTGCTGGTACTGACACACACACACACACACACACACACACACACACACACACAGATTACTCGCAGTACATTCCTGGCAGACTCCCTGCCTGCACACACAGAGCTGCTCTCACACTCACCGCGGGATGCTGCAGGATCCAGTTTGGAGGAGGACGTTTCTCTCCGCCTGACGCTCCCGACATGTTCGTTACTAAACAAAGCTGCAAGCGATCACCGGCTCAGTTACCACTACATGACGCCATGCTGTTGTAACGGCACGCTCTCACCCAGTGCGACTGTTAAAATCGTCCGTGCGGAAACGTTTTTGTTGTCCGTGCAGAACACGTACGCAGACAGGAGACCGCTCTCCTTTCGGGGTCTGTATTCAAGTCAGTCATTTCTATTCATCATGCTAGTCCTAAAATTAACTTATCGGTAAATACTGGGCAAAAGTTTTGAGCCACACATCCTTTCTTTGTATTTTGCTTCCGAGGAGACTGACATTTCTGTTATTTTGAAAGTGGTCCTAACAAGACTTCCCCAGACTCTCTGAAAAAATTAGCAGTTTTAATTTAATTTTATGTATGTTTGCAAAATATAAAAAGATGAGTGGTGACTCGGGACTTTTGCTCAGTACTCACTAGTTCCTGCATCGTTATAATTACTTTACGTATTACTGACATCTAATAAACTGACTTCCACCAACCGATCTTATAGAAAGAAAGAATAAAAACTGCACTTACAGCTGCCAGATGACTTTATTCATTTTAGCGAGACATTATCTCATCGAAAAATAATAAACAGTAACATTAATGGTGATATTAAATCTGCAGACTCGCAAAGCCTGGTGATCTTTAGATGTATGAGTGCCACTGCCACAAACACTATTAGAGACATTATTGTTAAATGACCTGGAGCCTCTTATCCACACACTGACAGAGACATTACGATAATTCTGCTTAATGTGGTTGACTCCGTAACCAGAGTCTTTATTCAGTCTTTGATCACTTTTTTCATTGAATCATATTTTGTCATTTTTGTTTTCGCAATCAGAGCCCATGCATCGCTCCCGTGTCACTTGCTCTCTCTTCACCCTTTCCTCTTATACCCAATAAATTCTCCTGAAACCAAGAACCTGTGCTTAAAAATAGATTTACTGTATTCCGGTGTTTAATGTCAGTTGTGTGTCCAGTTCACAGTTTACAGTTCTACGAATACTTCACCTTAAAAAAAAAAAATCCAACAACATTTATTGACATCATTTAAGGCTGGGGAAACCGGAAAGCCACTTATTCGCCTGAAATCTGAAACCAGTCTTAGACCAAAGGGAGAGGATGTCATCCATAGCATTAATGCTACACTGACAGCTGCGAATGGCAAGTGTGACATTTGAAAATCTCATAAATGTGAGCACACATTTTATCCGTAATAGTAAAAATGCCCACAAGATTTCTGGATTTCTGATAAACCTGGTACCAGTTGGAAGGTTTTTTGACAGTTTGAAACTGGGTTCTGATGAGTTAAGTTCCAGAGGAGCACAGCAGACAGACCTGGCTAAGAGAGCTCAATCACTGGCTGGAAGGTGAAGCTTGAGAAGTTCTCGTGCATATTGTCATACTGGAAAGTCCAGCCTTCTGGTAGGTAGTGAAGAGCATATGAATCTGAGAAATGCAGATTCATAGTATAAGGCTCTTTTGGGATAATTCTGTTCTGATCATTTGTGCGCTGGAAAAGCCATTAAAATATGTTTTTAAAAATGTATTTGCTTGCTCACATTTTTCACAGTCCTCCTCTCAGCTGCAGACTGTGGCTATAGACATTCAGACGGTGACTGTGGCTATAGCTGAGGTCGTCTGCTTCCTCTGACACTGCAACATCTGGAAGCACGTGCAGACTTAAACTGTGCACTGAGGACTTTCATTGTTAAAAACAGCTTCCCTATAGTCAACAGGGAAGGACTTAAAATGATGATGGCTGCTGTCGCCCTCTAGGTGGTGCAGCAAGAACTGCAATAGGTGCCCCCCACCGCCCCACCCCCGCGCGAGCTTCTGAGGAAGTAGGATTTCGACATGTGGCTCATCATCAGTCCCAAATCCACCCCCTCTGTGATATGAACTCTGAGGATGTTTACGTGTGCCATGTTGAACTCACTGCCTGGGCTGCGGCCCCATTTAACTCTACTCATTTCCTTTCCTGTGTGGTGTGTGTGCTTTTTCTTCTGAGATGGAACGCTGTCTAGTCCCAGCTTCAGATATCAATAAAAATAATATTTGTGTACAAACCTTCCTGGAGTGTCGGTGTGAATTCTTTTTTAAAAGGGGACGAGAAAAGAAAAAAGAAAACGTTTAAGAGCCATAATTATATAAACAGACCAGCTGATCCAGAGTCAAGTCAGAAGTTGTGTGAGGACTTCCTAGTAATCCTGGCTTCCACACCTCAAGACTGGCAAATCATAGTGTATGAGTTTTTCCAAAATAAAGTTTGCTTAGGAACAATATATTGTGTGTAGCCATGATTAAACATCCAGCCAAGTTTAAGTGATAAATGCCTGGAAGTGTTCCTCAGAGTTAACATGCAGGAACATATGGCAATGCAGAAGGGTGGCTGTCAAGAAGTCATTCTTAAAGAAGGAAAACAGGGAAAAAAGGCCAAAATATGCCAAATTGCACAATAACTGGTCTGGAAATCAGTGGGAACAGGTGCGATGGAGAGATTACTCTAAATTTACAAGTTTTGGTTGAAATCATTGTCATTATGTATGGAGGAGGCCAGGAGAGAGCTGCAACAGTGGGTGTCTACAGCCATCTGTAAAACACGGTGGAGGCTCTGTCATGGTTTAGAGCTGCATTTAGTAGTGTTGGAGATCTTGTTAATATTGATGGAATTATGAATGCAGAAAACTTTTTAAGGTTGACGATGACAGAAACTGAGAGACTATATATAACCTACATTCAACCTTTGTTAGAGCTATAACGGAAAATGAAACAACGGGACCTCTTTTTTTTTAACTATCGTTACAATAATGTACTTAACAAACTGCTTTGAGACTTACTTTGAACGCACCAAACTCTGTGTGTTCAGGTGTGACGTGTCCTCTGCTGCAAAAGTGCTGAGAGCATTGTACATAATGGAGTCAGTAACATGGCCCAACCTATATTTGTGTGGGGCTCTAATTATGGGATACTGATAATATATAGCATCATAGTTTCCTTTTGTGTTATGTAAATATCTACTTATAGGGAGAGAAGTATCTTTATTAAAACATGAATTCCAAGTCTATTATTTTCTGTTTTATTTAATCTGGTGTGATAACTGTAGTAATGACAGTCAGTTTGTTTTATTAGATAAAGGCAAGAAACATAGCTGTTATAGATGCTGTGTTATAGAAGTCTATTATAATTATATTATAAATATAAAATCAGCAGTTAAAGGAAGCAGATGTGTTTGCGTGGCGGCGACACTATGAAAATGCATTATTGGAGTGAACTATGCCAATTGAAGAGAAAAAGCTCTCTTAGAGACAAGGAGGAGTCCTTGATCATATACTACAACTCCTCTCCTCACAGTAACACCACATTTAATACCACATTCAAATGCCATGTTAGCTAGAGCACTGAGTCACGGGAGGTACACTGCTTTGCTTAAAGCCACCTGAACTGTGACCTTTAATTGAGGTTTCTGCTCACTGAAATAGTTGACATTTCATAAAGTATGACATGCTCTTTGAAAACCTTCAGGGAAATACTACAGTCATATACTACTGCTATTAACCTATGATTAGCATGCCTATTAGCATATTAAGCTATGTTTTTAAGTGTAGTTGAAAGTAGCTTTAGCATCATAGTTTTTGAGAAGTTATTGCTACATTTGAGTTGTGTTGTAATTCATTTATAGCATAAAGATAAATGTTTAACAAATCTGCTGATTAACCTGGCAAAAAACATATTCTGTAACAACAAATGTGCTTGAGTTTGTATACAATACATGGACTGTATGTAGGTACGCGTATGTAGATGGAGTTATGATAGATTCAAAGTGAGCATCAGAATGGGGAGGATGGTTGCTGGTGCTGGACGGTCTGAGTATTTCACAAACTGCTAATCTACTGGGATTTCCCCCACACAACCGTCTCTATGGTTTACAGAGAAGAAGAAAATATCCAGTGAGCTGCAGTTTGCTGATGCTAGAGGTCGGAATAGAATGGCTTTAAGCTGATAAGAAGGTAACAGTAACTCAAACAAGCACTTATTAAAGTCTGTGAGAGACCATCTCTGAAAGCACAGCACGTTGAACCTTGAAGCAGATGGGCCACAGCAGCAGAAGACCACAGCAGTTGTCACTCCTGTCAGCCGAGAACAAAATGAGGCTGAAAATTACACAGACTCACCAAAAATTGGATAAAAATTAGAAAAATATTCTGTTGTATGTTGAGTGTCAATTTGTGCTGTGACATTTGGATGGTAGCTTTTGGCATAAGAAACACAAAAGCATGGATGCATCATGTCTTGTATCAACAACTCAGGCTGGTGATATTTTCTTGGCATACTTTGGGGTACAAACTGAGCCTTGTATGAACACCAAAGCCTACTTGCCAAAATCCTTCCCTTTATGGCCACAGTCTTTCCATCTTCTGCTGGAACACAATGTCAGAAATACTCTCAAACTTGTTTCTTGAACAATCTTGAGTTGAGTTCACTGCACTCAAATATCCTCCACAGTTAACAGATCTCAATCCATTAGAGCACCTTTGGGATGTGGTGAACCAGGAGATTTTCATCACGGATATGCAGCCAACAAATCTGCAGCTCAGTTCTATTCAATTCAATTCATATAGCACTAAATCACAGCAGAGGTCATTTCAAGGTGCATTACATTGTAAGGTAAAGATCCTACAATAATACAGAGAAAACCCCAACAATCAAGCGACCATCTCTGGACGAGCACTTGGCAACAGTGGGAAGGAAAAACACTCTTAACAGAAAGAAACTGCCAGCAGAACCAAGCTGGGAGAGGGGCAGGCATCTGTCCCAAACAGCTTGGGATGAGGGGAGGAAGACTATATGGACCAAAATCTACAGGGAAGGTTTCCAACACCTTGTTGAATCCATGCTACAAATAATTAAGGGAGAATGAATGAAAAGGAGATTTGCAAAGTGTACCTATTAAAGTGGGTAGTGAGCCTGTTTATCCCTAAAGGGAGGGTTGCTCATAATATCATTTTAGTGTGAAAGGCATTAACTTAGTTGGACACTAGTTAAAATATAATATTTTAAATCTTTTTAGGCGGGTTAATAACACCTTAAATGGTCCACAGAACAAAGCACATTAGGACCATAATTCATGTAAACGTATTTACTATCAACAACGAATAATTAGGAAGCTGATTTAATGGCAAACTACTGGTCGTACAGAATAAGCACTATATAATACAGCCAATGGGCTACTAATAATTCACACTAACTAATCCACCAGTGTGTGAATGTGAGAGTGAATGAATAGTGGAATTGTAAAGCGCTTTGAGGGTCTCGAAAAGCGCTATATAAATGCAATCCATTATTATTATTATTATTAATAATAATATGCAATAGCTAACAGTTATCACTTGTACATACAATACAGTATTGCTAAGTTATTTATATAATTTACACCGTCTTCATTAGACAGATGAAAAAAAATGCACAAATAAAAGATGAACTTAATTTTTATTTCTTAAAAATAGCACAGGTCAAGCAAACATTGGAAACATTTAATATTAGTACTGTTCCATATCACAAAATGAGTTATGAAAAGAATAATTAAACCACACAAACCATATAAGTTTTTCGATATGTAATAAATTAATCAGCATAACATAAGAAACAAAACCATGCTTTGTACTTCTGTGTCGCACAGGAAATATTCAAACTCCAATGCCGAAAATTTAAGACACCTGAGAATATAAATATCAAAACAGCTTGCTGCAGCAATTATTTAGTTCCACGGTTCCTCCCATTTACCTTAACTAAAGCTTTGATAAGAGGACTTTTTAAAAAATTACATTAATGTAAAAATTAGCATCAATTTAAAAAAAAAAAAGAACATCCATTTCTGTACAATGTGCATATCTGAGATAGTGTGGTGACAAGAAAAAAAGAAAATGCCTTTTTGCCCCCAGCTCTTGGTGAGGCGGCGCGGCAAAAATTAAATCCGAAATGGACCCAACTCCAAGCCACATTCAGTGATGTGAGCAAACAGATTTTGGATTGAACATATTCAATCATCATTCTCAGTGAAATGACAGTCTGCAAATATTTTTACTTTGTATTTAATTGCCCCTTTTTCAACTTCTGCTCCAGCGAGTAGTGAAGTTTAACCCTTTGTAGATCTGAGCTTTAATGACTATGGAGATTAAACTGCTACTGTCTATTCACAACAACAGGTCACTGAGGAAAAGAAGAAGCAGCTACACAGGTAGTAAAGGTGTTGCATATTGAGTCAGTAAGGACGAGGGTACGTAACAGGCCATCTGGCTGATAAAAACAACTCTTTTCTTAAAAATCCAAGGCTCGATGGTTTTATAGGAATTTCTGAAAGACTGGTTGGATGGATTTTACACAGACACTGCAGAAAAAAAACAACTGTTTTGACTGTGAGGTATGTTCTTCTTGTGACAATATAGCTTGAGAGTCTATATCAGACGCGTTTGCTCCTCTGATAAACAGTCCACTCGTTCAAGGTCACTGCCAGCAGCAACCGAAAACTTTCAAAAGCTCGGCATTCACTTCAAAGAAAACAGCTCCAATTAAAATGAAATCGACGGGAAAACGAAGACGGCGTGACACGAATCGGCGAGACAATCGCGCCGATCTTAATGTGGAGGAAAGCGAAACAGATCTGGGGAAACCAATCCCATCTAGACACATTACACAACAAAAGAGATGGCCTGGATGACTGAGAAAACACAAAAATAAGGAAAGGAAAAGGCAGGTTTTTTTGTTTTGTTTTTTTAAAAACCACTGGTTATCAACACAAAGTTCCACAGTGCCCACTTGGAGTAACACAGTAACAGTGCAAGCCATTACACTATCCAGCAAAATATACCTGTGAGAAAAAAGTGCTTATTGCATAATGAGTTTCTGTTATGCGCCTGCAAGAGGGCACACATACCTATACAATGATCCAACTGTAAACATGGTGCAAAGTAGTTATGACATAGTTTAAGGCTTTCAAAGTTTCCTGAAGAAGTGTTCACTGAGTTAAAGGAATATGTCCATAAGCGGGACAAACAGTGGAAATATTAAAAAAAGAAATAACACATGCACACACACACTCTCTATTCAGACCTGGACACTACAAGTGGGTCATAAGTACATAAAATACATTACAGGTTTGACTGATTTGGTAAATGGTGGATCTAATATTTTGGATGGGTTCATTCCTGAAATCGAAACTGATCATTTCATATAGATTTAGGTGCCAGCATCCCTAAATCTACCGAACAGGTTCCGATCAAATCCACATTTGTGTATCACTATTCAAATCAAACACAGGTGGAACTTTTATCATCAGGGATGCACTGATATACAAGCAAAAACTGTGACTGGCCGATGACCGATATAAGACTGAATCTACCGATAGTTATCTGTTGTGTCAAATTAACTGGGATCTACTTTGTTTCCAGGGCATAAAAGAGTTAATAAACAACAACAAAAACTAAACACACGAGTAGAAAAAATACTGGGCTTGGATATCGGGGAAATTTTTTGTTTTTCCGACATTGGAACCGACCTGGAATTTCACAATCAGTGCATCCCCAAGTATTATTAATGGCTGCTTCAGTGACACGACTGCACAGCCCACATTTATAATGTGTAGATGAGGGGAAAAAAAAAACGTTCCACTGATCTAATCTTCTCAGAATTTGTTTTTGGTTTCCACATAATCAGTTACAGTAAGATTTTGCCCCACCCCTCTCCCGATGCTACTCATAAGACTCTGATTTATCTGCTGTTAAAAGAAATAACTGGCACGTGTCTATATTTTGTCATCTTTCTCCAAACCCTCGATGAGGAAGTGAATGCTTTTACTTTGAAGGCAGCAGGCTTAAAAACAAAATGAAAAAAAAAAAAATTTTAAAATCAACTTGCATACAAAACATTTCTCATTTCTGTCAATACAAAAAAAAAAAAAAAAGGTAAATCTAAAATAAACCGCACACACCAACACTCACAGGCAATGCCATTCTATCAAGCATACGTACTGTATGTTACCCCTAATATAAGGACTACAATTCATCACGTGTATTATTCTGCTAGTAGCATTACCATTTTTTTCTACATTAAAAGCTTAAAGCTTATATACATTTGCATCAGGTTTAGACATAATACTGCTGTGTATTATGTGTCAGCATTTCATTGATGATAACTGGTGGAGCCTTAATGATGGCGTGCAAACAACTCTTCTACATTGAAATTCGATCCACTTTCAGGCTAAAATGAGTATTTGATCTACACTTGAATTGGATATATGTGAAAAAATATTGACTTCAACGGAGATGGTTACTGAAGCCGTATTAAAAAAACATGAAGGAATGTGTCACCGCTAGAACTTAATATCAGCAAAGCTACAAACAAACAAAGATTTTTAACAAGCGTCTATCCATCGCCTCACTATCTAACATCCCAATATTGTGCTACTCATGGTAAATAAAGGTTACTAACAAGGTAGAAATGAACCACAAGAAAACCAGAGGATTATTTGGCTGATGATGATGATGAATGTGCAGATTTGTACAGACAATAATATAAAGAAATCCCTGCAATCTGTGAAAGTGTTTCAGTTTGAGACGATGAGGTTACCTTCAGGGTTGGGTTTGATTTTAATCGACTGAAATCTGCTTCGCGATTCTCGTTCTTATCGAATCCTGAGATCAAAATTTTACGAAAGGCAGCAAAAAAGAATTCCTGTGATAAACGTATGCTGCCATCAGGTGGATATCCACAACGAGGTATTCTTGATTTGATTTTTTGGTTTAAACGAAATACAATATTTGTGCTAGCTGTGTGTGTTTCACTTCTATGGCAGTTAAAACCTACTGATTTTTATTTCAGCAGGCTATATTGCAAAACACCGTTTAGTACTTTTCCAAGGCATGCTGGGACTTTTGCAACTTTTATGTGATATACCTGGCATTAAATTCTTGGGATCTCATCCACAAAACTCTTTTGTGGTCTAATATCACTGCTACTGATGCAGGACAGTAAAAACTACATTCTCAGATCATCCTGCAGTAAGTCTACCTTCATGCCTCTAACTTTCCTTAACTGCAGTGATTACATTTCACTCTATCATTATTGGGTTTTCTGAGGCTTAGCCTAGTCTGCCATACTGTAAACATCACACACACACGCTCATGTAACTGCCGATGCAAATGGAAGCACAGTAGGTCCAAAGTCTTGCTTTCAGGAAACGACAAGTGGAACCAAAAGCCGCATTTCTTAACGAGTCCCCGGTTCTCTTAGGTTCGTAACAATTTTCAAACCCAACCCTGGTTGTTGTTGAGTGGGTGGACAGTGTTCATGTGACTCAACTGTGTGGACACAGAGACGCATCCAGCTCTGCGTGTGTATGTTTGTGTGTACGTGCACATTTGTTTTTAGTGCAACACAGCAATGCTAAGTCCTAACTAGTGGATCTGATTGTAGTCGGTTCACTTGAAACTAACGTTGACCGTCTTGTGCTCCCGTCAGTGCACAGCAAACCCACGCCACCCTAATTGTGCACGTCCGGATCAGAAGCTGAGGACGCGACCCTGTTGCGCCCCAACATGGATGGCTTGAAGTCGGGATGACGGCGGGCGTGCTTGATCAGGTGGTCGCTGCGCATGAAGCGCTTGTTGCACAGCGGGCACTGGAAGCGTTTTTCCCCTGTGTGGGTGCGAGTGTGGCGGGCGAGCTCATCGGAGCGGGCAAACTTCTTCACACAGTTAGGCCAGACGCACGGAAAGGGCCTCTCACCTGGACACGAAGGCAACAGAGAGCAGAGAGAAATCAGTCGCCAGGTTTGCAGAGAAAGCACACAAGACGGTGTTTCATGACTAAACAGACAAACACACGGGAACAGAAATGCTACTCCCTTCTCTCTGACGAGAATCGGTTTTACAATAAACAACTGCATACATAAAAGGAAACAAAAATGCACTATTTTCACTGATCTTTGATCTATGATTGGTTAAGGTGCAAATTTCTGCAACTAACAGCCTAACTATGAAATAAAACGTCAGAAAAAGTGAACAGTTCCTGCTGCCAAAAATGCCCCACGGCCTCGGGTCATTAAACCTCCACATTATTCAATAATGTATAAAAAACAAATGTTTACATGTGAAAAGGTAAAACCACGAAGTATGGATTGAAAATGTCAAAGTAAAAGCTGACAAAATTTAAACTCATGGACTGTTTTGGATTAATTCACTTTCGTGTCATTTCAGTTCGCAGGTGTGCTTTATTTTGCCTCTAATACATCACATCAAACTGATTCTTCATATCTTTTGTGTAGTCCTCAAATATAAGTCGCTGTTGAAGCCCACATTATTCTGTGCTTTCAAATGAACTAGGAAGGGAAAAACAGGTTTTGTATGCTTACAGTTTGTGTTATTGCACAATGAAGGAATCTGTTAATCTGATTACTTAAATCAGATCAATTTAAACACAGTGACACAAATGTAACACCTGCATTACCACTTTTCACGTATATTTAGATACGTGAAAAAAAGATATAGGATCTAGATGGCTAAGATTAGCCTTCCTGGGCTACTACTAGGCTTAATCTCCGGCAGGCAACACGAGTCAAACCCAGGATAAGCGAGTGGGATGCTCGGTGCCATTTGCAAGATCACAAAGCCTGGCCACGTTGTTGCTGCAGAACTCTGTGGGCGTTCCCACAACACCGTCTTTGAGCCGTTTCCTGCCCTTAATCCATTTGCGCCTGCTCAGTTACACTGGACACGCCAAATCCAATGATTTGCGAGAAAAATCACACTTAAAGTCACTAATAAAGTTACGCTATCGTTCTGACGGATGAACTATTCACAACCAATCTGCCTTTATTACATAATTAAAACACATGGGTGAGGTGTATGGTGACGTGTAATTACGTATTCACTCAGAAAACACCCCAAATGCGTTGAAAAACCTATATATGGCAAAGGGGTGGCGCATCCAGAACTGGATATCAATACATTTGATCAATAATTTACACATCGCGGAGGATTGATTTCAACTTGTCAGCATACGTGAGGGTGAGAGTGTGATGCCCAGAGAAAAACTACACAGCGCCAAGCACTTGCTGAGGCCTTTTACGTTGTCCCACTATCATTTTCAGCGCTTTCAACTTTAAGGTTTCGTCTTACGTTCATTTCATATGCAAATCCAGCCGAGAGGAAGACTTTCGTCACAGGTTTTAACGTCCAGCCCAGTTCTTTTGTTGGTTTACTTCTTTGTCAGACTCCGAGGGGAGCGTTTCCCCCTTTGTTTGGCTAAATTACTTTAACAAGTTCTAAAAAGAAAAAAAAAAATCATAAAGAAGCAGCCAGCAGGCACGCTTACAGTAGTTAGTGAAAGGCACAGCACTCCCACCCCTCATATAGGTCTGATTAAACGATAAAACCGTCTGCTTACATGGCACCGAGGAAAGCAGAAGTTGGGGGTACAAAGTTGAGCTATGCCAAGGGTCTAGCTAAGGCTGTGTAAATACATGACATGTGAACTGCTGACATGACCGATGTGTTGTGGTCGTTCCCCTCCATACCTGTGTGCGTCCGGATGTGTGCCTTCAGGTGGGAAGATTTCCCATAAACTCTGTCGCATCCGTTAAAAGTGCACCGGTGTCGCTTCACCCCTCCTCCTGCTCCCCCGGCCCGCTGCTGGTGCTGCTGTCCGGGGACCGGGGTGGCGGTGGGGGTCATGGTAGGGGTGGTCGGGTCGGACAACGTGGTGTAACCGCTCTCCCCACCACACGAGGAGTTGCTGTTCTCCGAATAGGCCGACATGGGGCGGAACTTGCCGTGTAGGTCGGTGAGGATACCGGCCACCGCCACCACGTTAGCTCCCTCCAGCCTCAGCGTGTCCCGCACTTCCCTGTCCTCACTCGACCCTTCGGGCTCCCCGGGGAGCAGGCCCACCGAGGCAGGCTGGTTGGCGGGGGCGACCGGGGTGGGTCTGTGTAGAACAGGACCGCTAGATATCGATACCAGACACTCGGCAGCGAAATAATCAGACGACGCAATCAACGACATCGTTATCTACTTTGCTTTGTTGTATTTAGCTAAAAAAAAAAAAAAAAAAAAAAAAAAACAAGAGTTAAAAAACAATCGACCAGGAGGGGCTAACGGTAACGTTCGTCTGATCACGACCTCGTTTTCATCAAACTGGACGAACAAACCGCTTCCAGCAGAGCCTTGTTACCGCCATACAGCGTCTCAGCAGCTTGAGAATCACTGGATAAAACAAAGAAACGGCACCTTTACATGCAATAACACACTAAGACCGTGTTAATTCTCCCGGTCCAACATGCGTGCCCCTCACTGTCTGACGGTTCATTGTGTCTGAGCCTCCCAGAAGCCGGTCAAACCTACGCCCCCTGGTCCCGGACTGACGATGCGTTCAGGCTCATCGGTGAACGCTTTTTGGTGGCGTACACTGGTACAAATGTCTACAAAGCTCTGGATAATTCTCTGATTTTTGTTGTTACAGATACCCACATCCGTGTCATTTAACAGATATGGCAAACTCACCCATGTACTGAAGATAAAAACTGACATAATTTGAAGATATCATCGTTTAGGTACACCTGTGAACGTGTCATTTTTTTAAACGCTAAATCATACTTATGGCTATAAAGGTAACAAGCTAAATAGTTGTGCAAAGTCATGCCTGAAATTTGCGGCAAAAGGCGGTTAATGTCTATATTTTTTTACAGGAAGTTGTAAAATACGATTTTTCAGAATCTTGAATGCCGCGCGGACCAGAATCTCGCAGTGACTGACGTCGCAGCACGGGCGTGGACCGCGGGGTTGGGTGCATCGTGGAAAGTAGGTGGCACTGGAAGCCTGCCTGTTAAACGATGGGGGAAGGAGATGGGGATGAAAGGCGTGTTGTATAATTTAGTTTGAGCTCAGTCTGAGAATAAGGAACGTGGCCGAGTGGTGGGGGTGAAAATTATTCTGTAAAAACGCCATCATAGCTGCCAAAGCCTCTACTTCCCCACCTGCTTGTTATCCATACCACACAAACACTAGATGTCCCTATTTTCATGCGTTAACTGCTCTCAGCTGTGTTTCTTTGTCTTCTGAAAAGTTTGTGGATCAGCTTTTCACTTCACTAACAAATGTTTAGTGTAGTAGTGTATAAGTATAAGGAAATTATTCTTCTGAAAGTTCTTTTATTGTGTCAGTCACTTTGTAATGTGTCTAGGTCAGCACTCCTGTCTGGGGGCATGGGATGGCACCACTCCCATCTAAAGTTTGATTACTCCTCCCACTAGTAGCTACGCGAGCTGTGCAAAAGTCTTCCGCCACCCCTCATTTCTTTTTATTTTGCTTCAAGTGAGCCAGACTTTCTTCTCTTGAGCAGTAGTTCTCCAGGATGCCTGAAGGTCATTCAGAGTTATTCTTTGGACAGTGGCTGCTTTTCACTCATGTTCAGTCCAGTCCTTGTACCTTTCCATTTTTAGAGGAATGTTTTTTGTTTGTTTAAAGCTACTTAACACTGACCTATGAATCATCCAAGCACGGAAAAGGCAACGAACACAAGGGATGAACCCGTGTTCTGTGTACACATAACAGGCAACTTAGCAAAGAACCAGTTTTAAATTGTATCTTTTGACACTTTGTTAGTAGCAGCCTATCACAAAAACATAATTTGTTACCATTCCATTAGTTAGATCTATAAAAATGCCAAAGATAACAGAAAATAGTATTTTTGCACTAACAAGGTGATTCCCAAAGAGCTGTTAGCTAAAAGCTTGCCCTATCTCAGGATGCATAGTGTGTTCAGGCCTAAAAACCTACAGTAGATGAACAATGTCTGAAAGCATGTCCTTCAAAAATAGCAAAGTCCATCAAAGGCCTGATGCAGGAAATGAGAGATGCAACTACTCCTTCAGTTGATCCATCTACTGTTCATTGAAGCTTCATCAGAAATGGTCTCACTGGAAGGGTGGCTGTCAAGAAGCCATTCTGAAGGACTGGAAACAAGGAAAAAACGCTGAGATATGCCAGATCACAAAATAACTAGACTGAAAATCAGTGACAACGTGTCTGATGGAGTGTTGAATCCAAATTTGAAAATGTCAGTTCGAATTATCATCAATATGTACAGAGGAGGTCAGGCGAGAGTTACAACAGTGAGTGTCTATAGCCATCTGCAAAACATGGTGGAGGCTCTGTCATGGTTTTGAGTTGCATTTCGGTCAGTGATGCTGAGATGTGGAGATCTTGCTAAACTTGATGGACTTATAGAATGGAATTAACACAGGAAAGTACCGTCAGGTATACAATCTGGAATCTGTTTGAGCATGACAATGATCCCAAAAACACTGCCAATGCAGTAAAGCATACCTGGGTAGAAAAACACACAATGGCGCACTATCAGTCATGGATTGGCCTCCGCAGAGCCCGGACCTCAACATTATTGAAGCAATGTGGGATCACATTAACAGAGAACAGAACAAAAAGCAGCCAACATCCAAAGAAGAGGCCTGGAGGACTATTCCTTAAGACTACTTAAAGAAATTACAGGAAAGCTGTGTTGAAAAATAAAGATGGTCACACCAAATATTGACTTTCAGGCTTGTTAGAGGCTTTCAAAAAATGCCATACAGAGCTTTGAACCACACCCTACCAATTTTAAGTGGTTTGGTATTTATATTTCTTACTTAGTTACCTGTGTGCCGCCCCATATTAAAAATCCTGCAAACACCCCAGTCTCCAACTCAGTATCCGTGCAGCTGCCAGCTTTGCAAAGAAATTCTCTCTTTACGTGGTTCATGTCTTATGTCTGTCCAAGTCAACAAGGGTGTAAGAAAACTTGATGTTTTGTGAGGCCCGGTGTTCTGTCAAGTGATTGGCTCAGTGAATGTTTGTAGCTTCAGTCTTGGAAGGTATTTCCTGATTGGTTGCTGTGAGCAGTATGGGTCACAGAGGAAGCCCATGTACAAGCCTGGTCATTCAGTGGCTGTGAACAGTGCTTGGTTTTCATCTCACTCATATGTGGAGGATCGGAGGCAGCCAGACCTGTAGTGGGTTGCTATGGCAGTATTGTTGTTACTCTTCAATGGTGTACTTATTTTTCTCCTGCTACATGGTAAGTTTTATGGTTTGCTTTGTTATATTAGTTCTTGAAGAGTGAATTCATTTTCCAGTCAAAACAGGGTTTGGCTGTAGTAGATGTTATGTATAGAAGTTTGACAAGGGCTGTAATGTTCTGTCGATATGCCTGAGTTGTTTTTTTTCCTTTTCAGTAGGTGATTGCCTACAGGGGAAACCAAATCTCTGTGATTTAAGTTGTTCTGGTAAGATCTTTGTTACTTAGTCTAATGGATCTCAGATTTATGGATGCATGCACACTGACAAGGAGGGTTTTTTCCCTCAAAATTTCCTTTTAAATTTTTTAATTGTGTTTTATTTGCTAAATTATTTTCACTAGGATTTCCTACCTCTGAATTACTCTATCAGAAAGGGGTGAGATACACTTACAGGTATAGCACGACAATTACCAGCACCCTTCACGGCTCCACTGGTGGCAGGAATGGTCTGGCTTTGGACTGCCTGGTTGATATTGACGTGGTCTCCAAGTGTCACCTAATGATGCAGGTCAGCTTTAATAAAATAGTTTTTGCAAAAAAAACAACAATAAAAACGCATTATTAAATAACAAAAAATCTGATATTTAATGTGCATGTTTGATCTCTACAGATAAGGAATCCACAGATAAAACGGCTTTCCCCTCAAAAGGAGCACTCTGTGCAGCATTTAAAAAGTCTGAGGTAAAGCCAATGTATAGATTTAATACAGTCCGGTGTGTTTTCACAGATGATGGCGAGTGAATGAGTGCAGAATTCCTTCTCTTCTGTTTCCTTTTGCATGTGTGTGTATGCCACTCTGTCCGCTCATTTTGGAATGCTGCAGATGTTTTTCCTGTGAATCTGATTCCCCGTTCAGATGCTCCACTTGTCTGTGTTCCCTGGTCTTGTGGGGGCCTCATCTGGTGTTTTTGTTTCCCAGGGAGTCACTGGAGAGAACACGCCTCAAGTTCTCCCTCCAGAGGGGGAAGGTCACGGCCCTCTGTCTGCAGGAGGGGGAGCAGGTGTGGGCTCTGAACATTAAAAGGGCTCTACTGAGCATGTTCCAGACGTCCCCCATGGCTTCCAAACTGACATTAGAAAATGAGGTGGGTTAGTGGAAACCGAATTTGTTTCCATTCATTTCCTAAATATGCATGTATATGAAGAAATTCTTCCCAGGCGTATTTAACTTTCGTTCACTCTTTCTTTTCCTCAGACGGATGTGTACGGCACCTGCATCAGCAGGTACGAGAGGCGAGGACATATACTACTGAAGACCAGGGATCTAAAACAGTGCCATCAGTCCAGGCTGGCAAACTTCTGGCCTCATTCAGTTGCTCTGAGTGAAGACACAGTAAGATTAGGGATCTTTCTCAACAGTGTTTGGAAATGTTGATATGTCATTAATTAGTGACTGACAAAGTTGGGAATAAACATGCACATGGTGGTTATTTTATGGTGTAATTCCTGTAATTTGGAATGAATACTTCTAAGGAAAAGGCAGAAAAAGGAGTGATGTGCTAGTCCTCTGCACAGCTGAATTAGAACATATATTAAAGTGTGCATTTGAGTCATATTCTAAGGATAATGAGTTTGTTTCTTCTTTGTCTTTTTGTTCTTTGTTGCTAGTCAGTGCATTTGGAGCTACAGTGTGCTCAGCGCCATGGCTCTGTAATGGAAGAGGTTAACTGTACTGAGGCTGTATCCATGATGACATGGTCCAGGACTACAGGGATGGTGAAAACCCAAACAGTGTCTAAGCTACTCTTGCTCAGAGCCCAGCCAGGAAGTCCTCTAGGAGCAGGTCAGAAGACTCTGCAGTCACCTTAATCGAATCTAATCGCACTCACCACCCTATGTCCCAAACATGTCACCTGTGTGGGTTAATGAGGGTTTGATAATGGCATTCATAGGAATGGGTCAGCACTGACTGCTATACCAAGCATCTCTCTGATTTCATGAAATCTTGGGGTTCCGTTACTCCACCCATGGCTGTTTGTTTACTGTTTTATAATACACTAACCCCATGTTTGCCTCAAAATGCTGTGAACTGTGGGTCTTTCCCTCACATGAAGTCTGCAGAAGCACAAAAAGTTTGGTAAACTGGGCTCAAAATGTCTGCTAAAGAACTCTCTTGCACTTGACAATTTAACAGCGTGAGCGCATCCATGGTCTTAGCCAGTGCGCATCTCTGTGGCATTGGCTCTTACCCTTTCAGAGACCTTGATTCGTGTTCTCCTCATTGTCCCTGCAGATTCCTTAGGCACTCGTGTGCCAGTTGACCTTCAGTTTGAGGATGAAGGAGCTGCAAGGCTGGGAAAAACTAGACCAGCAACACCACAGGAAGTTGGTCAGACTGTCAGGATGTTATGCAGCCTCACCTCAGACCCACAACTGGTAGGCCATAAATGCAGCAGGTCACAATCTTTTAATTATATCAATTATACTGCAGCCCTCTTCAGCAGTGACTGTGAATAGCTTACATTGACTGCACCATGTCAGATCATTGAAGGTGTGTTTGTATATGTAATTCATGGCTGGACATCCACTGAAGGTTTTGGTGCAATAGCTCAGAGAGTGATTACTATGAATATCCTTTCTAAAGGTTAGTCTCGCTCAGCCTGGCAACTTGTTTACATGGGAGGTTTATAAAGACTTTCCCCAGACCAGCGGTTGGCAACCTGCGGCTCCGGAGCCGCATGCGGCTCTTTAGTCCTTTAAGTGCGGCTCCGCATGGTTTGGGAAAAGAAATTAGAAGTATTTAGCTGAAGTGCATTTTATTTATGTTAGTTTGGAAGATTTGTGATATTGAAATATAAAAATAAAAATATATTCTATTCTATTCTATTTTTTCATCGCTCAAAATAAGCGTCACACTCGCGGAAGCCGGTATACCCGCCGAAACGCCGTGCATTTATCGAGACTTTCCACCCCAGGTAGGTCAATTATGGATCTTCGGATCAACATTATGTCAGCAGCTATTCTCCACCGTGAACTATGTTAAAAACAAACACCGCTCACGCCTCACAGATGGCAGTTTACAGTCCTGCGTAAAGATGAAGGTGACTTCATACAGCCCCGATTTGCAGACGCTGTGCGCAGAGGTTCAGGAGCAGAAGTCCCACTGTAAACATACCACGGCAGACCCGACGATGTCTCCATTTCAGCGTCTCTTTATTGACCACTTTTAACACACGGTTTCTGTACGCATACAGCCCGACACATACCAACACAACAGCATAGATGGCACAGACGTTAAGGCGGCAAGGCGTGATTGCGGGTACCGCTTAGGTGCGTCCGCCTCCCCTGCAGCGGCGCTGCAGACCACGCCCCGCCACACACATTAACCAGGTAAAATACAGATTTAGGCAGAATTTTGCAAATATCTGTTTTTCATTTTTTAGCAGCATAGTGCTTTTTTTTCCCCAATTATTTTTTAAAAGTCAGGTCAAGGCTCCAAAAGCCCAAAGGTGATATAAGGGTGGCGGCTCACAACAGTTTTTGTTTGCTACATGGATCATTTTAGTTCAGCTGGGTGTCTTTCCTTTTGTTATATTTCTTTAAGAGTTCAAAATGTGTTAATTACATAAATAAAATGTAATTTTCTCTTTCGCACTTCATGGATTTCATAAGGAACAAACCATAGTTGTTCACACAAAGCATAAAGGTAAAAAACAATATATACAGTGTTATCTTGATTTTAGATGTCAAAAAGTATTTGCGGCTCCCAGTGTTGTCCTTTGCGTGGAAACCGGGTTCAAATGGCTCATTGGGTGTTAAAGGTTGCTGACCCCTGCCCCAGACTCATTAAAATGATAAACTTATAGTGTGAAGATCAAGTGATTGGTTCACAGTTCTATAAGGGTTCATTTTTCTACTTTAACACTTTTGAAAAGCTGATACTTGACATTCACTATATGTTAGCAGCAACTTTAGTCCATATTATATATGTTTGGTTTTTCTGCTCCAAGGTATCACAAGAGTTTATTCAACTGGTGTTCCAGCTGAAAGATCTGACTATCTCTCAGCTCAAGACACTTTGGCAAGAAGCTTCTTTCAAGTGCCGCAATGACTGGTCAGTATATCCCAGAAGTTTTATAAATGAGTATCTTTTGGTTGCTCCTTGAGTTCCCTGTCAATCTACCGCCAGTAAAAAATTCTGTAAACATATGAGTATACAGAATCTATAGGCCAGGAACAACACTTTTGATACTGAAAGCTTTATGGTTCCTCTTTTCAGTCCATTTGTGGACTGAGTTCTTTTGTTCCCAGAGACTAGATCAGCAGACCACTAGCCCATGGGAGTCCAGATTGTCTCCACCATGACTATTGCACGTGTCAGTTAATAAAACATATTTCCCTTAACTGCTAGTTGGAGTAAAGCTAAAATAACAGCCAACTTAATTAGACAATATTCTGTGACTGAAATGACCCAGCGGGCCCAAGGACAGGGTCACCTCCTTGTCTATTAAACATATTAAATCTGGCCTTATCACAGTGGATTAATGATTTATTACTCACAAGAGTAACAGAAAGCAATTAGCAAGGAATTGCCAGTAAGGTGCAGCAAGAACAGATAGTGTGCAGTGTGGTTTAGTGCATGACTTCATGGCAATATAATATTATTACAATACTTTACTCAAGATATAATAATTTTGCAATTTTTGTCATTTTCTGATATGCTGAGTATTGTAATAACATATGTGTGATTTATCACCTTTTTATGCAAATTATGTCCTCAAAGGTCAACTGTGTCCATGTCTGTTTTATATCTAATGAGATCAAATTCAGTTTGTTTGTTTTTACTGCAAAATGAGATGGTTACTAAAACCTTTCATAATTGTTGCCATAAGACACAATCAGTCTAATATCAATCTGTGTACTTTAAGGTTAACGGCCTTCCTGTTCCACAGGAATATAACCAGAAAACAATCCCCTGGCACCCAGCTGTGCTCATTTACAGTCTCATTCAGACTCATGGCAACATGCTGACAATCTGTCTGCATTTAGAAATCAGACAACAATTACAATCACTCTCAGACAACCACTCTGAGAGTGATTGCAGTTAGTCCAAGTCCGACTGCAACTATTTGCAGAAAGGTTGCCTCCTATCAGGCGACCTGTGCAATCGCTTTGTAATAAAAAGTGATTCTGAGTGTGCAACACCAACAAGCTCTGGGCAACCATTTACTCACCACCCCGGAATAGGGAACACATTGAGTAGGCAACCACCGATTCTAAATGCAATGAGGTTGCTGCCCTATTTTAATCAGGGCACTCAGGCATTAGCTTGCTCTGAATTAGGAGGTAGCTTTGTCAAGCTAAGTGTTCCCAGTGCTGGATGCTTTGTTTTTGTTTTTTTGGCTGAACAGTTTACTAACTAACATAATCTCAGGATGGCATTGCATGAAATAAGCCATCTTGTTCATAGAATTCTCTGAGTATTTCAAATTATTTGATAAAATATTGATCTTTAGTGTCCCTGTACTGATACAATATCACCACAAAAAATATCACAATACTATGCTGTATTGATTTTTTTTGTCACACTCCTAATTTGTGAAATGTGAAATTTGGAACTTTGTGAGGAAGAATAATAAAAATGATAACCTAAAATATTTTGGTGCCCAGTGAAATGTCCAGTTAGTTATAGCTTAAGTTAAAATAATCAGGTATATATGAGCAGTTTGATACTGATGTTGATTAATTGTTTGGACAGGCAGCCGCTGTTGGATGCACTGCCGGCATGTGGATCTGAAAACTGCATCATATTACTGACTGACCTGATGAGGAACAAAGAGGTGGAAGAAGAGCAGGCTCTCTCTCTCCTTACCACCATAGCCCTCGTCCCTCATCCTTCGTCAAAGATCATCTCCTCCATCAATGTAGGAACCTTCTGATGACACTCATGATGACCTAAGTCTCTCATCAAAACTCACATGAAATAGGTTAGTTACCCAGATGTCTGCTCTTTGTGTTAGGCTTTAACAGAGCTCCCAGAGCTGCGGTCCAAGACTCTGTTGGCTGGATCATCTCTAGTCTATCAGTTGTGCCGGAGGTCTCAAAACTCCTGCACTGAGCTTTCTCAGGTACAGACCTTTATGCAGATCCTTGAGAAAACCCTTCAGGAGGGCTGTGAAGGAGAAGAACCCACTCAGGTGCAAGAGGTAATGCAGTGACCTAGAACTTCATCTCACTCTCCATTTAATGCACAATGAATTGTGAGAAGATTTACATAAACAATGCTCAATTTGCATTTATTATGTTGCCCACCAGGTTCTTTATGCTTTAAAATCAGTGGGAAACACTGGTGTGTCTGCTTCTGCCTTCATTCCCCTGCTAAGCCGTTGCATGCTGAGCTCCTCAGCAGCCCTGCAGCTTAGGCTTGCTGCAATCCATGCCTTCAGACGCTTTCCCTGCTCAGCTGATGTGAGTTAATTCAGAGTTAATATTTAAGCCAGCAGTTGAATAAAATTGTGCTAAAAGATCATAAGAAACCACCCTTGGTGTTCTTTATGCTCACCATATTCTTAGACAAGCCTTCATGAGCTGTATGGTTAAGTGAGGCGATAATCAATTCCCTGTGAGCTGAGGTGGAGATGACAAGGTGAGGAGGTGAATAGGAGCCGAACGTCAGTACTGACAGAGATTTCCTTCCCTCAGAGGTCTGTGCTGTTGCAGCTGTACAGCTCTTCCCAGGAGGATACTGAGGTCAGAATCGCCGCATACCAGCAGCTCATGCGTTGCTCTGACCTGGATGTGTTTGAAGTGGTGAAGACGACCCTGAGGAGTGAGACTTCCAGTCAAGGTGGGGTTTGTGGAAGAGATGGCCGTAACAGCTTCTGCTATCAGAAATGTTTAATGGTGGAAAACAGGAAAATAGTGAAGTCCTGGACAAACATCAGAATATTTGGTGGTCACTAAATCTCAGAATATTTCTTAGATATTCTCTGAATATAAATATTAGATCATATTTATCAATTTCCATATACCACATTAATACTGTATTCTTGAAAATAAGCTGAGACATAATTCTGAATGGCATTCAAGCTAGCATACAAGTCTGCGGTCAGTCACAGATGTGCTTATTCCTATGTTTTTGAAAGGCACGTATATTTGTTTTGGGGTTTTTTGTTTTAATTTAGCTGATTAAAATCCATGTAGGTGTACAGAGGCAATCGTTATTTTAGTTTATCACTTTAAAAGGTCTGCCTCTGTGTTTTTTATTGTAATCTCTAAATACTCCTTGTATTAAGAAATAAAAGCTGTTTCATGTGGGAACCAAAGAATGAAGTTTTCAGCAGTGTGATCTACTCCCATCCCGAAGCAGTAAAGTCTGGGTCTGACCGTTAAATGAAGATGCAGGTTAAAGAACTGTGAAGCATCTGTTTCTGAAACCAGAGACTCTGATGCACTTATCTTCCTGCTGAGCTGGACAAGTGGCGAGGGTCACAACTTCTCTTAGAGACAGTTTTCACAGTTCTGTGAAGAAACTGTTACATATAAAAAATAATTTTTTGAACATTCTGTCAAAAAACAAAACAAAGTCATTCAGATATAACCCCAAACTCTTGAGTGATGGCACAGATTGAATTCCTTTCTGTGTATCTTAGAGACGCATGTTTGATTTATGTTTATTTGCTAGGATTTGTTAAGGAATGTAAGGGAATGCAATAATGTTTCAGACTTTTACTCGGCTTGTCTGTGACCTGGCATGTCTGGAGCTCTTCCCTTGTTCTATTTCTCTAGTGGGCTCATTCGTGTGGAGTCACCTGACTAATGTCCTGAGGAGTGAGGACCCCGCTAAGCAAGCCCTCATTGAGTCGCTGCCCGACGACATTATCAGCAGAGATTTTGAAGCCGAGTTTTTAAAATATTCCTCCTATTCAGACTATACTGTCTCATCAGGTATTTCAATCTTAAAACTGTAACTCATTTTCATAAAACTGCACGATACACTTCAGATTTGGAAGCAAATAAAATGAGGTGCTGAGCAGTGTCACTATACCAGGAGGGTGATAATGCATTTAAAGGGGCACAAATATATGTCTTCTTATATTACTTTATTTTCTTCTTTTGTATTTGTTTTAGGCGTCGGAATCAAGAATGTGGAAACATCTCTAATTTTCTCCCCAAAATCATTTCTACCAAGATCTGCTTCTGCCAACTTGACCGTGTATTTTCATGGCAGAGCCCACAACCTTCTAGAGGTGAGTTTAATGCACATCTTATTTTTTACACTTTACGGTCTTAAAAGTGATATTTCGAACGAATATATTTTGTTCCCTGACTTTAGGTGGATCTTCATGTTGAAAATGCTGAACCATTTTTAAAGAGCATCTTTGGGCAGCAGCAGACAGAGAGAGAAAACGCAGCTCAAAGTGGAAAGCACGAGGCCAGGAGCACAGGGAGAAAGAACGACGATGGGCGTAGAGGAGAAAAAGAGACGTGTTTATCGAGCACTGACAGCTACCTGAACCAGGCCCGAGAAATGGTGAGGTCAAACTGTTAGTTTAGAGGTGTAAGTCATAACGTATGATCTGAGCTTGCTCAGGAAGATTTTTGTCTGAAATCCAAAGATACTCAGTTTATAAAAGCAGACCAATCAACTGTCAAACTCATCCCCTGCCCCTTAATCAGTGGCAGGTCTACAGGACACTCTTCATACTCCCCGTACCTCTTTCCAGCTTTCAGTCTGTGTGTTTGCACTTGAAACGTTGTTGGTTGGTCCAACTAAAACATAAAACTCAGCACTAAAAACAAGGAAATTTGTGTTTGGTCGATTATTTCTTTGTTGTACTGATGCTTCTTAACAATAAATCTTATATCATTGGAAAGCCTGTTTATCTGGCCTTAAATGGCGCCACATTCATAGGAAAACTTACAATTATGGGTTGAGCAACAGAGTCGAGTATGTAAACAGCTTATTCTGCTACTGGCTCTTGTTTATAGTGTTGGATGATTGAAGTATGAAGAAACAAGATATACTAGCAATTTAACAATTTATTCATTTAACAAACACGGGCCTCAGCAGCGTGTGGCCACACACTGCTGTGGTATGGCATCCATCAGCATTTGTCACAGGGCAGCCAGTACATGTCACAGATACAGATACACCACATCCAAGTGCTGTATCCCATAAGTGTTGATGTTGAGCTCAGGACTGCAGACAGGCCATTCCATCCTCTCCACTCCAAAATTCTGTAGGTAGTCTCTGATAAACCAGCTCTGTGATGGGAAGCTTTGTCATCTTGCAGGATAAAGTTCAGTCCCAAACGCTGCACTTACTGGATTGAAAGAGAGCTGTCTGGCTCTAAACCCAGACAGCTTGAGGTTGCCCTATGGCACGGAGCTCTTTGTTCCAAATGTGGCACTAGTTAAGGGGAAATAAACAGGCTCTCCAACAGTATGAGATTTAGCATTAGTACAACAAAGAAATAATCAGCCAAACTCAAATGTCCGTACTTTTTGCGCTAAACGTAAATATAGAGTCCAATGTAAAAGCTAGCAATCATTCTGTAGTCTCCAGAAAAAGTGGAAATAATGAAGTGGTAATTTTAAATGAAATAAGGTGTATTCAGTAAATAAAAAACAAAACAAAATGCTGGCTGGATGGATGGATGGATGGACGGACTGATGATGGATGGATTGATGGATGGATGGATGGATGGATGGATGGATGGACTGATGGATTGATGAATGGATGGATGGACTGATGATGGATGGATGGATGGATGGATGGACTGATGATGGATGGATGGATGGATGGACTGATGATGGATGGATGGATGGATGGATGGATTGATGATGGATGGATGGATGGATTGATGATGGATGGATGGATGGATGGATTGATGATGGATGGATGGATGGATGGATGGATGGATGGATTGATGATGGATTGATGATGGATGGATGGATGGATGGATGGATGGATGGATGGATGATGATGGATGGATTGATGAGATGATGTGATGGATGGATGGATTGATGATGGATGATGGATGGATGAATACAAAATATGAATATAAAAATTGTAGTATGAGAAAGTAATCACATTCACTGCCGGTGAGTCAGTAGCTCATATCTTTGTTACTTTATGGAGTTTTGGGGTGTTTTTGCAGTTGTCTGGAAGAAAGAAAATGGATGCGAACATGCCCAACTGCTGGGTCGGTGTGAAGGTGTTTGGGAATGAGCTCAGCATGTTCACATGTGAAGATCTCTACAATCAAATCAACCAGGTGTCACTGAGCATGGCTGGACTGGCTGTCAGACTGCTTAAGGTGGGACCCCTGTTGTCATGTGTTATTACAGTCTGTTATCGCCGACTCTTTACCTCCCGTTATCGCCCTGATTGTCTCTTCCACTCTAACTTTCAGGGTCACGAGGTGCAGCTGAACCACAGATCCACGTTGATGGCAGAGGAGCTGGCTTTGCCATCTCTGTCTGGTTTACCCGTCAAACTGGGCGTCAACATGACCTCCCTTCTTTCACTGCATCTGAAAGGCAGAGTCAATTACAGGGATTATTCCCATTTCTCCCTGAATGGATACATCAAACCCAAGTACTTAAACGTTACCAAATGTCACATGGGCTCATCTTTCTTCACGGTCTGTTTTTTTTGGTTGTTTGTTTTTTAGTGCGTCAGGTGAAACTTGTCTGTTTGTTCTCAGTGCCTATGTGAGTCTCTCGGCCAGGATGGGGGTTGACGGGGCTCTGGGTCAGGCTGCGGTGGAGTGGGTGGCTGAGCTGAGGAGCTCCACGAATCTGGACGGCAGCATCCAGCTGCAGGAGGGGCAAGATTTCAGGGTCACGCTTAACACACCTGAGGACTTAATGGACATCTTCTCTCTCAGGTACACATTAAAAAAATTTCCCCTAATAAATCCCCTGTTTTAATGAACGTGTGTGTTTTTGTGTGTGTATTTACTTAATCAAAATCCTTGTTAAGCATTAGGAGACAGTTTAGAGAGGGTTGAAGTGTATCGTGTGTATGATGCACTGTAAAATCTGTCAGAATTACAGGATGGACTCAGGATTCCAGCTGATTAATGGCATTACCGTAAAAATTATTTAAAAAAAACATGAAATATGACTAAAAATTTGTTATAGTTGCTTTGTTAAAACTTAAAGATGGGATTGAGAATGAGTGATGATCTTTTTTTTGTTCTCACCAGCTCGAGAGTGTTTCAGCTCAGCGGAGACCACAGAGAGGAGATAAAGGGGCCAAAGAGTCGAGTACAGAAGACCACCTGCACACCGAAAACCTGTGAGTTCTACAAAAGGGGTGCACTTTCATACGTGTGTGTGTGTGTGTGTGTGTGTGTGTGTGTGTGTAGTTTAATTAAGGAAGTGTACTTCACTCTCCTTTGTTCACAAAATCACAATCATATATTATATGTTTATAAAATTAATCTGAAGTTGTCTGATTCAGTTCATTAACTGCCTTGCTCTGATTATTGTATGTTATAATATTTAGTAAGTAATAGTTATAGTATTATAAGTACATGTCTGGTTCCCTGCAGGGTCCAAGATGGTGGGTTGGCAGCTGTGCTCCAACACCTCTTACCCATCCCTTGCCACAGGTGTTGCTTTCCTCCCCTCTGGACCAGTGCACCTCTCCCTCAGACTGCTGAAGCTGGACAGAGGCCTCCATTACTATCTGCTTGAGGCTGCTTACTCAATACATCATCAGGTGCCAGACAGCATTAAGATATGCATGTGAAGCCCTTCCACTGAGTTTATTTTATCTGAATAAAGCTGATTTTGTTATTTAGTCTCACAGTGGTTTGTGTTTCAGAGAGGGACCTGGCTTCCCAGGGAGGCCTCCATCCACCTCCTGCTAGCCACTCCTCAGTCCTCCATCCCGAGAGACATGTCTCTGGATCTGGCCTTCAGCCCTCGCAGACTGCTGCTGAAGATCATTCATCCTCTGAAAAGCATCCATATACATGGTCGGCCAGACGAACAAGCTAAGACCACACCCGGTGTTTGGATACATTTATGAAAATGTGTTTTGTCCTGTTTTTTTTGTGTTTTTGTTGCAGGTCAACTTGAGCAAGAGAGGAACACTAAATCAGCAAAGCTGGAGCTCATGATTGATGGTGTTCATCATTACATCATGGTAAATATTGTTCTCAAGTTTTCAAAAATACATTCGATCAGTTTTATCTTAAATAATTTCCCAGTTCTAAAAACATGTATATCATCCACTGCAGGGTTTGATGGACACCCAGACCTTCCTGTCGGAGCAGAGGACTCGCTACCACCTTGAAGCCAAGATGGCCCCCGATCGACATCCCATGATCCTCTCTGCTAATATAACTCGTGGGCTGGGGGGCAAAACAAGCTTTTCTGCCACTGTGAAAAATGTGTTCAGAGAGCCTGCATCGCTGTTGGGTACTTTTATAGTTGTCTCTAAAATCTCTGCTACAATAGACAGTAGACAGCAGAAAACATGCAAGTAATATGTGCTTTTAGTGGCCCTGGAACGCAGGCGGGATGGCAGCAGCAAGCAGTACTCTGTGGAGGCGGAGCTCCTCCTACCTGGTGTAGTCGGCAGCAAGACGCTCGGGGTGATGGAGCAGAGGGGCTCACTGTGGAGCTCTGTGCTCAGGCTCAAGTATGGTTTGGGAGGTGAGGTTTAGTTTGCAGATGGTACAGGACACTTCAAACTGTTTATACCCCAAAACACGCTGTCTTTTAAAAACAGGAATATCTACTTTCATCAAAAGTTAACAAATATCGCAGATACGCCGCTTTTTAAAGCTTTGTTTTTATACTGTTTAGATTGATTTGTAATGTGTTTGGTAGCATTAACGTGCCTGACGTTTTTTCTGCAAACACAATAGCCCAAACAGTTTTGAATGAATTGTGATCAAACTTTGTAGGTGTGCAGAGTGGAGTCATATTAACAATCCATTCAAATTTGGCTAACATCCACCCAAGCCTTCGAGGTCAACTCAGTTACTTATTGGTCAAAAACTGACAAAAAGCTTCTAACTTACAAACTATGATTCTTACAAGAGTAAGAAAATACCATATAAAGATTTAAAACGCCATGTCACATTTGACCTTTGACCTCTCCATCAAGGTCAATAGAGTGATCTCAAGGTCAAAGTGATAATAATGCTATATAGAGCTATTTAAAAGCAGGAAGTAGTTCTTATCAATACAATATGTCTGACAGGTCATCACTTTCCTATTTTATTTGGGCTTCCCTGCAGTTGATTCTCGCCACCTCCATCAGGAGTGCTACACATCTCAGAGAGTGAAGAGCGAGAGGGATGCAAACCTCACATACATCATGAGAGCCGATCATGAATTCTACTGCACCAGCACCGCTCCTATTAACCATAAGGTACCCGCAGACACATTTAATTTGAAGCCGCTCTGCTTCATTTATTACAAACAGTATAAGCTGGCGGCGCAAGTTATCTCCGGGTGATTGAAAGCATTCCGGTTGTTTGTGCGTCCTTCTCAGATACACCTCAGGCACGAGGAAAGCTTGAGCCATGTTAAATCATCTTTGGATATTAGCTACGGCAAACACTGGGATGAGATAAACAACAAACACACGCTTCTCCTGAGCCAGTCTTTCAAAAACCAGTCCACAGAGAATCACACCCACTACACTCTGGAGGTAACCCGACCTGAATTCAGAGCTTCCCGTTCTCTCTGTTAGCCCCGGGGAGGCTTTTTATCCCAGGTGACTTCCAAAGCAGCAGATTAATATTTTCTGTGGTCAGAATTAATACGGCTACCTTCCCTCTCTTTAATCTTATTCCAGTTCAATCTCCAGGCACCGGAGAAAAACATGAACTACAGGACTCAGCTGCTACACTCTCACCTAACACAGCAAGGCTCTGAGAGAAGCACTCATTTAAAAATCAATTACAACAATCTGATGCCGCTGGTGGCTGGATTACACTGGAAAAACCCTCCTAAAGATGCCCTGCACAAGATATGGGAGGGTAAAAACAACTCACAGCCATCTTACATTACAGCATGCTTAAGGTCCTACGTTATATTTCTTTGATATACTAAATTATTTTTTAAAGTTTGCAGGAAGTTGACTATCAGGATTACTTATTTTTCTTATTATCGTTTAGGATCGTTTAATATGGACACACCATGGCTGTACATTTACACTGCACATAAGTTAAACCAGCTGCAGAGCCAAACGCTGCAGCTGACCTCTGAGCTGACAGCCAGCAAGTGGCTGACCATCCGTAACCTGGTCCTGGAGGGTTTTTACAGGGACAGGGGGAGAGAGAAGGAGGCCCGATTGGAGCTCTACACGTCAGCAATCACCTACATCCAAGTAAGGAGAGAATAAAGTGCTCTGCCTGAATATCACCATTTAGTTATTAATCAAATAAAAATAGATTTTTGAACTTGTGGGTTAAAAAAAGTGTTCAAGGCGACGCTTAAATAAAATCACTTCCACACTGGAGTGAAGTAATTATAAAGATAAAAAAGAAATATTGTGTGTTTATGAAAACTCCACCTTTAAAAACACACGCCTCTTCCTCTGCCCTGCCTCAGGCGGGGGGCTGGGGTTTGCTGGGGAAGCGGAGTGTGAAGGCCTCGTGCTCCTTGAGCTCGCTGTGGACTCCTCCCCTCCAAGGAGACATTTCTCTGGAGGCCTCTAAATTCAGCCACACCCTGCAAATGGCCTCCACCTATGGCAAGCAAAATGTAACCCTCGCTGCTGCCCTGACCGCTGCTGATAAGGTGGGTGGAGACGCTGGGCTGCTTTTGTGGTTTGGGCGTGTTAAATGTGTGTTTAATTATAGAATGAAGCCATCATATTGTGTTGATTGTAAAAGTCTGAGATCACAACAAGCATGAGAGATAACCCGTAACCACCAACTGTATTTAAAAGGCCAAAATCGCACATTTTGATAGCGTAGGGCCTGAAAAGGTTAAAGGTTGTGCTGTAGTAACAAACCTTCCCTTTCATTTGGATGTGATGAAGAATTTGAAAAAGAGGCAAGGGATTCTGAAGATGACCTACACAAATCCAAAGAGTCTACCCACTGAAGTGGAGCTCGAGGGAGTAGTAGAGGAGCTGAAGAACGACAAGAGGATGTATAAGAAAACTGCCATGCTCCAGCTCAGGTCTGTGCCGTAACTTACAGATTACAGATATTTTGAGAAATGACCGCAAGAACATTGCTGACTTTAATAGTCTCCATCTTGCACAGACAGCCCTTCCAGACCTTTCCTCCAACTCTCCTCCTCCGGGAGACTTTCACCGTCGACCTCCTCAATGGCCTCTACGTCCTAGAGTCCAAAGCTGGTTTCAGTGACAACAGAGAGGTCGTCCACACCCTGACCCTGGGCTACCGACCACCGAGCCCTTTTGTAAGTGCTGTGTAAGCTAATAATTCACCTGGGCATTTGAAAGAGTGAAGTGGGCTGTAAACAGTGATCCTCATCTTTAAATGTGATCTCATATGTAGGTTTGTTCTGCACTCATCCACCCTTTCAGCGCCGACGCTATTCCATCAGACTCGGAAATCTGTGTGACCGTAACCAGCAACCAGGTAACCTGCCAACCTTTAAAGGAAAAAAACAAGATCTAACATAGAGGGTAATCAGCTGAACCCCAAGAGAAGGCCCATTGTCTGCGACTCCAGTGGGTCCATCACTGCAAGCGCTCCACACTTTAGCATAATTGGTAAATCAAAATCTGAAACGATGAGTGAAAGATTATGTGACATTTTAATTTTTCTGTCATGTGACTGTAACTGGCAATGTGAAAGACTCATTGCCAGTTTTTGCAAACACTTGATTAAGATAACTTTAGAAAGAGAACAAGAGAGCATATTACTCCCATAGTAGCCTCTCTTCATTGGCTCCCTCTTAAATCCAGAAATTGGCTTAAAATCCTCTCCTCACATAAAAGGTCTCAAATAATCAGGCCCATCTTAAAGACCTCATAGTACCACGTAACCTCAACAGAGCCCTTTGTTCTCAGACTGTTGGCTGACTTGTTGTTCATAGGATATTTAAAAAGTATCCTAGCCCCTTTAGGCCCCTCTTCTATAGAGCCAGCTCTCAGTTTGGATTTGTGACACAGACGCTGTCTCTGCTTTTAAGATTAGGCTTAAAAGGTTCCTTTTTGATCTGCCTCTGAATCCTTGATTTGTTGTGCTGCAGACTGAGACTATTGAGCATTTCTTTTTTCACTCACTATGTTTTTAAATCCCTCTTTATGTTTAATTATTAGTTACTATTAATCTCTGGGTCTCTTCAATGATGTATGTGTTGTTCTCGCTCTCTCAGCACTCTTTTTTCCCCCCCTCACCCTCAGCTGCCCCTCCCTGAGGTTTCTTACTGTTAAAAGGGAGTTTTTCCTTCCCACTCTCTCCCCATATGCTTGGTCATAAGGGGTCATCTTATTGTTGGGGTTTTCTTTCTAATACTGTAGTGTTTACCTCACAATATAAAACACCTTGAGGTAACTGTTATTGTGATTTGGCGCTGTATGAATAAACTGAACTGAACTGATTGTATTTGGTATTTTTTAACTTTATCCAGTATCTTTTGAAACACAAGTGCCTGAAATATATAAGTTTGGCAATTGTGCCAAGAATAGTGTAGATGGATAATAGTGGAACATACTGGCAACATTGACGTATTAGATGTTGTTTCGGTTTTGTGCACTCTTCTTCAGAACCAGAGAAATATACAAGGGAGGTTACGAGTTGGAAGCAAGGAGAGACTGACTTTCTCAGGGCAGCTTCAGCTGAACCCTACGCATTCAACTCACCAAGCAATAAAAGTTAAAGGCAACTTTTTCCATCAGCTCCAGGTAAGCGGGCTTCGCTCTATCTTCAGAAAAGTGTTTAGGTTAAAGAGCCGTGTTTATGTGCATGATGCACTGGATGGTGACCGCAGTCAGCAGTGCAGTAAATGATGTACGTCTGCTGCTGACAGTGAACGGTGTGGTTTACAGTAACGAGGCCAAAGTTATGACCGGTTAATCTGTTATTGCTTTTACAGCTGCAGCTCCCCTCCTCTGCTTTAATAGAGGGAGATGTACTTTGGACCCCAAAAAGCAACAATGACTTTGATTACCAGGCCAAAGGGAAACTAAGAATAGAGCGGCAAGAGTGCCAGGTGAGTAAAGCAAACACCTTGTGCATTTGATGAGCCGACATTTTTTAATTAATTTCTGGTTTCTAAGGCTTTTGTGTTTGTTTTTTAAATTCCTGTCAGCTTTCTGTGCAGCTGAATGGAACATCAGGCAGAGTTGGTCTGTATTCATCTCTTCGTCATCCCTTCAAGTCAAAGATTCCCAAAACATTAGAGGTGGGCTGATTTGCATTATTTTGCCTTTAGAGTTCTAAAAAAACACATGTTAAGATCTTGCAAAAAATTCAGGTTATGTGAAACATTTTCATTTTGGGGTATTAGTTCAGTCGATGTACTGTTTGACCTGTCAATATGAAGACGTCTGCAGACATGTCCATGGTGACTGGCAAAGGGAGCAGCTCGGTGCATGTGAGGGCTGACGGGAAGGACAAGCTGAAGCTGAATGCGGACATGTCCCACTACATGCAGACGGGAGACAGAGCTGTAGGGCTGAGGCTGAACTTATCCCAGAGCCTGCTACCTACAGCCACGGATCTACATGTAAACATAGCAGGGAACGTGTCTTCAGACAGGTTTGTCTGTTATGTTATTTTAAAAAAGCCTTTAGTCTAGTCCTCAGTCACACAGTAACTAACTCTAAAAAAACCTGCTTTCTCTTATGGACCTTTGACCTCTTTTCCATGATCATCTTCCTCCTGTCTCCTCCAGTGTCTTTCTACGTGGCTCCTTCACACAGGGAATGCAGGCTCTGCTGGCCCAGCTCAAGGGGTCTTTAAAACACTCACAGGGGATCCAGATGGCTGTGACAGGGGACTTGAGGCACATGGTGACCAGCCTAGATTTCTTGCCTCCAGTCCTCGGGTTGGATGGAGCATTGGGGCAGTCTGACAGTTTAATCGAAGGTAGACCATAACCTGTGTCCTTTACTTTAAACTTGCCTTTGCCTGTAAAGCGTCACAAATGACGTGTAACGCATGCGTGTTGTTGCAGGACAGCTGAGAGTTAGATTGATGGAGACAGTGTACAGCGTGGAGCTGCGACACCAGCGAGATCCCGGAGCAGCTTTGGAAGGAGATGATGAAGAAGGGATGATGGAAAAGAGGTCCCACAGGACCCACGACTGGCTGTGTGTTTGGTCCGGGGAGGAGCATTTGTGTGTGAATGCAAGCCGCCAGCAGGGGAATCAAGGGACAGGAGAGGTCTACACACAACTTTCTCACTCTTTCCATGTGCTGAGAGCCACAGGTGATCATTGCAATATCCAAAGAATACATACGCAGCACTTTCTACACATGTATATATGTCCCTGTCTCTGAGTTTCCCTTGTCTTCTGAGTACAGGTGTACCTCCTAACAGTAGTCTTGAGGCTAAATGGGTCCAGGAAGGTGCTGGATTATCAGTCCTGGGAGAGCTGCAGGTTGGACTTGAACATCTTAGAGCGGAGTTTCATGGAGGCAGGACAGACCACACCAACCCCCAGTGGGTATTCTCCTCTAGGCTGCAGCACCAAGTCGAAGCCCTGCTTAAAAGAGGCCTGACACCCTCCTTTGAGGCTAAAGCGCATTACCAGGTGCAGGACTGTCCTTTATTTTTTAATTCTTGCCAAGAGCATAAAGTAGTCGGGAAGCAATTGCATTAATAAGTTCTCTTTCTCAGGATATACGGTGTATAGCTGTAGGCTGCTTTCCTTTATTCTTATATTTATTTTTCTCTCTCTTAGTCAGAAACAGAAGGACTGGACACAGGTTTGGTTCTTTACATGGAAGATGTGAGAGTTGCTGACATCCTTTTAAAAGTTGGATCAATAAATACAACACCTATTTTGGTAGTGTCTCTATGGCAACAGATGATGCTGCTCCAAGGACTCGTACCCACTTCCTTACAGGTATATTTATTTAACACCGTTTACACATGTACACTGACAGAATCGGGCTATCACTGTAAAAGGAAAACTGTGATTACTTCTTTGTACCTACCCATGATCTTTAAATATGTGAGCATCCAAAAGGTCGATGATCTATGAATCTATATTCAGAGAAAGATTACAGATACAATCATTTAAATTAATCTCAAAATGGATAAATGCAAAAAGGACACAGATATGGATCTGTGATCTTCACTTACATTGTTAGTTCCCTAAGATAAACAGGACCAGCTATCTGTCCATTTTCTTAACAGCTTGTCCGTGTTAGAGTAATGAAGGTGTTGGGGTGGGGCACATGCCTGATGGGTCACCAGGCCATTACAGGTTACTATAAAGAGAGAGACAGTCACAGCTAAGCCCAGTTTAGACTCACCGATTAACCCGACATGCAAATCTCCCGCTAAACGCTGCACCTCCGCTCGCTGTGTGACAACAGCACTTCTCCAGAAGCTTTTGAACACATTAGTTCTTATTTGTTCCATGAATGAAAAAAGGTACAGTAAAACAAATCTTTGATGTGCCAGCAGACAGTTTTTGTTTCCACAGGAAAGAGCCAGACTGGCTGTCTGTAGCCCTTGTGCTGAGCTGCGCAGATGCTAGATGTATCTTTATGTGTGGAAGGATGAAAGATTGAAGGATTTTCTAGCCTCACTCTCAAAAACAAAGAGTGATTTTTTTTTAATCAAATGGCAAATATTGTTTCATACAAGGCAAAAGTTTATTCTGTTACAACTAAAAGCACTCAGTGATCATTAGTGTCTTAAAAAACACAGAAATGCTGTTCAACACTAAACATATGTGTTCCATAACAAGGGCTCAGATTATTATGTTATGGCACTGCAATATTTTTATGTGGCTGGTCTAAAGTTCAGTGATTCCTCTTCCATCTCCTCCTTGAAACAAAAAACAAACTTTGCCAACGGGGGTTTTGTTTTCACAGATGAACTGCACAGGGGACGTCACCGCAGACCGGCTCTCCGCTCACTGCTATGGAAATGTGGCAGACAGCCCGGTGGAGGTACGAGCCTTTCGCTCCTATAGACCACACAACAGGCTCTGCTATGGCCTCTCGCTTGCTCACTTAAGGCTTAGCGCTCATGCTAAAGCCTGTTACAGTTCCAGTGGCCGAAAGGAGCTCAGAGCTAACCTCACTCATTCTTCTGTGCTCTTACTTACATATTTGGGGGTTCCCACCACATCTGGTGTTAGGTTCCTCCTCCGGCCTGGCCCTGAGAGGTGGGTCCTGGGGATGGGGATAGTGGTCAGTCCGTGGAGAGCAGATTTGAATGTGGGACTGAGGTTGGAGAGACCTGGGCAGTATTGCTGGCACGGGCTTCTTGAGTATGGAACCCACAGTGCTACTCAAAAGGCTACAGTGACAGGACGGATGAGCCTAGAAAGGTGGTGCCACATCTTGGGAGATGTTCGTGTAGTATGGGACTCTCTGAGATCCAGTCTAGTCGTGCCCCTTCGATGCACGGGGGTGGGGCGGCTGGTCTGGAGGCAGGTTAAAAGCATAGAGGGGGGTAGATCGCATAAAGCCTCTTTAACTGTGCATGCACAGGGAGGAAAAGATGGACTCAGAGGATCTCTGAGCCTTCAAAACCAGCAGGACTTCCTCCAAGGCCTCTTGTCTGTATTCCTAAAGAACCATAAAGCTGAGCTGGGTTGGAGACTCCAGCACCAATGGGCCTACCTTGGAACAATCATCCCAAACAGATTGGACTGTCATGGCTCAGGTGAGCTTCTTGATACCTCCCTTGCTGGAAGCGCTCGAATCTCTGTCAACACCCGCTCTGCACAGATGAGGATCACTGCTGCCTGGGAGCCCTTCACCTCTTTCAGAGCTGTACTTCAGCAAAACCTGCTAGCTACTGCTCGTGTGCCACAGGAGCTCACTGTTAGCATGGCGACCTCAGCAAGGCAAGCCCAGTTTGAGGTGGAAAGTGACGTGTGCTCCATGCTTCTCCTGACCAGTCAACACAGAGGGGGAACGAGCAGGAGGAGAGGGTGGATGCTTTTTGCCCGAGAGCGATGTGTCTTACTAAAGGTTAGAGAGGAAACAAGGAGCAGTTGAGCAGTTGAAGGAAACTTGTTTCCCACCTGAAGGAAAGCAAAAGAAACATCTTCACTTTGGAGATGACTCTTTGTTTTCCACTGCAGTGTGAGCTGCATTGAAAACGCCAACAATTAATAAAAAAGCTCAGTGGCTTCAATGAATGGTAACTTTCTAAGGACTGGTCACTCACAGGGCAACATAAAGCTTTAGCTGTGAAAGTTAAATCTACCCCCATAAAATATGTTGCAGATATTTATAGTCCTCTTGGGATCTATTTTTGATTTGATCAATTTAACCTTTCCTCTCAACCTTTCCATCAACTAAAAAAATAAAATGTAAAATTAGAGAAAAAGTGTATCCATGGGTACAATCATAGAGCAGTATATCCTGTGTATCCATTTAAAAAAACTGAAATTCCTATAGAATATAGTAAATTAAAAAAAGACTTTTCTGTCATTTAATTTTGTAATCATTACTTAATTACATTTGGTGTGTCATGAATAGCCACTGGGAAGGCCTTATCAGCAATGATACGGATGTAAAACTTATAAAAACACAGTTAAAAGTCTGAATATCTGCCTTCCTTCACATTTTCCAAAGCTGTCCAGTGTGGCGGGATTGGAGTATTTGCCAGGCCGATTCTGGCCCCTCCGTCTTATGTTTGACACCTGTGGTCTAATCCTCTAGATATGACGTCCACCCTTCAATTAAACTCTGAGAGGCTTGCTGTACTTACACTGGGCTAATGAAATCCAGCAGATATCTGCCTTTTAGCTGAAATATTAAACCACCTAATCAAAACTTTGATGCAGCAAAGTATTTGCTCTTCTCAGTTCTGTGTCCATTTGAATATATTTAGGCTACATTGTTGGACTGAGATTTTAGGACTTTGCATACACCTCCTTGTATAATTCACATTTTTTTGTTATTAAATATTTGAACTGAAGGATTTCTATAAATGTAATCTTTTATTCCCTCCTCTGTAGGCTCTCCTGCCTCCACAGACCTCATTCAACGTCTCCATCACTCAGTCTGGCTGTTCCACAGATCTCAGCACTGTCCTGCAGGCTGAAGGAGCACAGAAAGGCAGTCTAAACCTGTCTCTAACTTGTGATCCTCAGCTTAGTCTCCGGGCATCTGTACAGCACTCAATTGAACCAATAAAGAAGCTGCAATTTCCTACCCATGGAGAGCTATTCCTGAACATCTCAACTGCCCTTCTGCCTGGTGTGGAGGTCGGCCTGGAGGTCGGACGTTGTTTCTTTAGGGGTAACGTAGGGAAAGTCAAGGCTTCACAGACAGAGACTGAGCAGACTTCTTACACTGTTAATGTGAGCAGCTTCTGTCCTCTGCAGGTGAGTAAATCTGTCAGTTGTGTTTAATACAGCTCGTGGAAACCTAAACCAATATGTTGAAGTTGTTGAATCTCGCTGTCACCTTGTGGTGATACATACATGTTTCTTTCATCACAGTTAGAAGAACTGGAATTTCCTCTGTAACTCACTCATGTTTATGTTAATGTAGTCTCCTTTGAAATACAGTTTCCAGCCCATTAGAAGATCAAACGTGAGCTTGTCATAGCAGCAGAGCAGAACAACTCCACTGATACAGCTACAAGCTTGTAAAGCTATAAAAACATTTTGAAGGGTATTCGTCTCTCAGAAGTAATGATTATGCTCCACCTGTGTTTGTGCCTTAGGGAATGAAACTCCCTGTGTCCCTGGCCCTGCGGGGCTTCCTCAAGGTTATTCCTTGCCAGCTAACTCTGTCCGCCTCTGTGAAGGCGGATAATCAGAACCTCTCTCTAGACATGAGCCAGTCCTGCAGGAGTCCAAACCTCTCTGGGGCCCTTACTCACTCCTTTCTCTGGCTGAGTGGTCAGGGTCTACCACAGATCATTTCTATGGATGCTAGTGCTCCTGAAGGCCCTGAACAGCCTGGAAGTCTCTTCATCAAAGTTGGGACGTGTCACATTAGAGCCACTCAAGTTGTGGAAACCAGAGGACGAACAGAGTGGCTACTGGCTCTGGAGTCTATGTGCCCTCTGTTACAGGTTGGATCTTTTGAATGATTAGTAAATCATTTTTGGATTTTGAAAGCTGCATGAATTGCTTGTTTTTGATTTTTCTATCAATACAGTCAAAGACATATTAGAGAAAAAGGAGTTTGACTGTTGCTCACAATGATTTTTTATTCATTAAAGGCTAATATAAATGGGTCAGTACAGCAGGATCCTCGGGGTATCTGGACACTCATGCTGGGCACTGATATGGAGGGCAGAAGGGGTTTTCTGAGGCTTAATGCAAGGGCCTGGCCAGAGCTCAGTGTGGATGGTGAACTCAGCCATGACCTTCCTGCTCTCAGAGATGTGCCTAGAAACAGCAGACTGAGACTAAGCACCAGGTCAGGAAAACTACGATTTGACGCCGAAGCCCTCATTCAGATGGAGGAGTGTGCCGTCACAGCCAGTGGAGCTGTGATGTCCCAGCTGGGCCTGCAGGGGTCGCTGATGTATCACAACAACTGTACAATGATTCAGGTACATACTGTACTTAATGATGCACATAGAAAAGTATTACTCATCAGATCTTTAATTACTTCCTGTTTGTTTTTTATAGGAGTTGGGCAGTCCAGACAGGATGCAGGCCTCTGGGTCCCTGGTTGTGTCCTCAACATCTGCTGAATCCCAGCTCTCAATGGCGATCGACAACGCCAGGTTGCACACTTTAGTGTTGATCAATAAAACCAAGGTGTGGGAATATGTCATAGAAATTCAGGAAGTCTCAGAAAGTTCATGGGACATAAAGATGTCTAATTACTTTTTCTTATGTTGAAGGACGAAAATGAAGCGACTCTTAATCTAAACCACTCTGTGCCCCTGTTGAAGAAGCTGGGTCTCCCGCTAAACGCTGCAGTGACGATGAATTCTGGGAGTCACAGGAATGGTTCACACTTTTACACATTCAACAGCAGTGCAGGAAATCAAATGGTGAGTCCAGAATGAACACACAAAAACTGTTATTCAGGTGAAATCAAGGACAGCCATAGTGGCTCAAAGCTGCCAAAGACCCAACATATACACACACACACACACACACACACACACACACGTATGTATGTATGTATGTATGTATGATTTATATATATATATATATATATATATATAACACATATATATATATTAGGGGTGCAACGATACACAAAATTCACGGTTCGGTTCGATACTTTGGTGTCACGGTTCGATATTTTTTCGATACAAAAAAATGTTCATGCCTTTTTAATTTGTCATTTATTAAAATTATAAATATATATTTTAACTCAAAAGTACAGTTTTTAAATTTAACCCTAACCCTTGTGCGTGTTTTTTATTTTGACAGCGAATGCGCACCTGCGGACCACTTATGTGCAGCCCTGGTTATTTAGCTCGTCATATGCAGCCACAGAAATTCTTTTGTCCATGAAACCATAAAGCTGCACTTTCTTTTTGCCTTATAGTCTGATTTGTCATAACTTCTCCGTTTTGTGGTAAGCTTTTCTTTGGCTGTCACTTCTTCACCCTGACCTGTCTTATTTGGCTCAGCAGAACTAAAATATATATCCTGCTGCTTTTACACACGCACTCACATAAGCTCAGCGATTCTCTGCGCGATCAACCTCTCACATGTTTAAGCTGCGGGAGATTTCACTTGTCATGTTTGCATAGTAAGCTAACGATTGATAAGACGATGTCAGAGGAATTGGTGCACAAATTATCATCACTCACCAATCAGTGCTGTCGCTCTCTATACACAGTTCGCACGATTGCAAAGTGAAAGCAAAAAAACAAGCGCAAATTCAAACGCGATTTCAATATGTCACATATTGACAGTGGCTCACCGATGCCAATGACATAATTACCCAGCTACATTTCTGAAAGAATGCAAAAGCATTGACATATTTTCTTCCTACAATAGCCCGACGGGCAGGGAAGAGATAGATTTTGGTAGCCCGACTGAAAAAATCGCTAGCCCCGGGACGTCGGGCTAGCGATTATTGCGAGCCCTGTATCTGATTGAGGAATCACTCATCTTTGGAAAAGAGAGTTTATTACAGAGAAATGTCTCTTTCCAAAATAAAAGCTATACTATCGCTTCTTCTGGGCTATATTCTCAGCAGCATATTAACATACAGTCCCATAAGGAGAATCATGTGCTAACAGCTGTCTAAATGACTCGGCTAAAGTTAGTAGCATGCTTGCTTGTTTTTGTCTGCTTCCACTTGTCTTTGCACTAGGATGATGTCGGCGTAAATGTGCAGTCATATTCGTTGTGTTCCCACTAGTGCTTTCAGGTTAATCTCGTTGAAATGACCTTAACGCCACAACACGGCAAATCTCCGTTAACGAGCTACCGCCGATCGCTCCGTGCATGGGGCTAGACGGCCAACACATTAACGAGCTAACTGCGCTAACACACTAGTTCCCACCCATGTAATTGAGCATTGCATGGCACATCCAACATACTGTTTTACTTTAGTCCATGACTCGCTTACCTTCAGGGTCATACGTCACATGAAAACCAAAATAATTCCAAACACCAGATCTGAATGAGAGTGGGGGAGGTCCACGCTGCAAGGAGAGCTTAACTTCTGTCTCGCTAGCTTGCCCTGCGCTCTTCCTTCTGACGATGCTGTCTGTGTTGAGCGCTCAGTGGATCTGCGCTCGACAGTGCAGCCTAGGCGGAGTAGTCGAACGCAGATTCACTGAGCGCTCAACACAGACAGCATCGTCAGAAGGAAAGTTGATAAAATAAATTAAAATTTGTATTGTTCGATACATATGCGTACTGAACCGAAAGCACTGTATCGAACGGTTCAATATCGATACGAATATCGTTGCACCCCTAATATATATATATATATGGAGACAAAAACAACAGATTAAAGAAAATCAGAGAGCTCAGATGTTTATCTGTGTGTGGTGCTCAGGTGTTAGTGGAAGACAAATGATGAATTAAAATGTGGTATTTCTTTGAATTTCTATAAAAAGTGTTGCTGTTCACATTCTGAATTCTCTGCAGGTAAGTCATGCTGTGTCTGTGGCAAAGACGTCTGACACAGTGAGAGTAAACAGTCATTTTAGACACACAGTGAATTGTCTGAAGAAGCTTGGAGTCTCCGTCAACAACAGCATCGAGGTAGGAGAATAAAAAGGATACATGACCGTATATCACGGCACCTGATTTAACCGAGATGAGCGTGCACTAAACCCTGGATGGTGACTGTGTCCAGGTGGAGTTTGGTTCTGCTGAGGGGAAAGGCATGAGCTTACAGTCCCAGTTTGGTGGTCAGCTGGCGGGACTGAGGCTTAAGATGAAAAATGTTCCCATGACCAAAGAAATAAGAGGAACCATGTGGCACAGCTGGTCATGGCTACACGACAGAGGCCTGCCATCTAATATAGAGGTACCTACCTAATGGTTCTACATACAGACACAATGTTAACCAGAATCAGAACATCCTATTAATTCATGAGATGAATGACAAAAACAAGTTGCTTTCTTCTTTTACTTTCTTCTCTGCTAGGGTCTTTGCTCCATCCAAGGAACCTTCTCTCAGCATCGGTCCAGGGCTCAGCTCACTGTGGAGGGACACAAGCTGCTCACATCTGGCTTGAATTTCAGTGGCACCAATGGACATTTGTCTGTTCTCCTCTCCTATTCTCCTCCAGCTTTCAATCAAACAAGAACTCAATGCCATCTGGACGCTGTCCTCACTGCTCAGTTCAAAGGTCAGACAAAAAGTCGGTTTAACGTTGTTCTTTTACTTTAGTCATCTATTTTATTTTAATCTTCATCCCAGTTTCATAATTTCATGCACTTCTTGCTTCGTATTTTCCCCGTTTGGCTGCTGACCGCTTTTGTCTTAAATCCTATCCATGAAGTGCAATACTGCACAGTGACCAGCACATGTCAATCTTTTACTTCATAAATTGTTTTATGGCCGTACCTCCTCTCCTGCAGGAGCAAAAAGATACTTTACTAAATGTTATTCTCATGAAGGTGTGAGGACTCAACCCTGAGGCAGTGATGCTCTGATATCCTCCGCAGGCCCTCTGAGGAGCGCCTTATTAGACATTCGAAGCCAGGATTGGAGGGTCAGAGCGGTGGGGGATGTTGGTGGTTGGGGCGCACATGGAGGAACTAAGGAGGCCAGAATCACACTGAAACAGACAGTACAGGGACAAGCCACTCCTGCATTTCAGGTAAGGTCAGCACGCACCTTTAATCCCAACATCTTCGTTCTTCTGTGCTCGCAGTCTACTTTCATATTGTTATCGCTGAATGTTGTTGCAGGTGGAGGCCTGGGGAAGACTTACTGAGTCACAGCTGAGGTGCTCCATGGCTGTAAACCCTGAACTCAGCACCTCACTTGCACTCATTGTCCAGGGACACCATGTCCCTCATAGGTACTGTTAATACACATCAGTAACTCACTAATTAAAAAAAATTATTGTAAGTTGTCTTTGTGCACATTGTGCACACACTGAAAGTGATAGATGTCCTTTTGTTTAGCAAGGACCTGATGGTGAAGGTGGTCCAGAATATCCCCACAATGCTGGTCTACCTGCCTTCTCAGATCAATGTCCGAACGCAGGCGAGTTTTTCAGTTCTCAGAGGAGCTCCTTTTGCATTTAACTGGAGCTCAAATAGACACACACTCTGCAAAACACAATCTGTGCATCACTGTCCAAATCCTCTGTCAAATTACAAATGCACTGCTTTTGTTTGGCTATCCTTTTAATGCAGCACCTTCTTCTCTCTTTCCGCCTCCAGTTGAACCACTCTCAGTCCACTGTGGTGGGTTTGGTGGAGGTGATGTCAGGCAGGAGGAAGCTGTGGGCTGTTGGAGAGCTGGCAGCAATAGAGAGCGGATACAGGCAACTTCTAGAGGTCAAAAACTCGTACCCACAGGTATTTCTGAGCTTAAATGCCTCTTCACTAGGAATACAGTGTGTGCACAAGTTTACTTAAGAGTTTTATCAAGTCACAGGTTACAGACACTTTTCACTGGCAGTGATGGATGGTTGTGCTAGAGGGTTATCATATATTTGCGTCCTATTGTTTATAGACAATAATAATAAAAATAATAATGCAATGGCCTCTACGTTATCAGCGGATGCATTTCGCCTGATTTTGGGAACCATTAAAAAATAAAGCTAATAAAAAAATTGACTTTCTGGGTCAAAATCTGAATGTTGTTTCAGTCCACACCCTCAACATGAACCCTCATGAATGTTCCACATCCTAAATATGATTTGTTGTGTAGTTGAAGCCACTCCCCAGGACTGCTGCAGTGAGGACAGTGTACGAGGCTCGGAAATGGAGCTACCAAGTTCAGCAAGCTGCTGTGTGGGGAAGCCAGGAGTTCAGCTTGTCTGGTCTGTACTCTGCTCCACCAGCACTGGAGATGGGAAACCAGACAATCAGGGGTAACATTTAGTTTTTCAGCAATGCTTGATCTTCGTTGTTTTATCTGCAAAGGCCACGTTAGAACTTAAAGGGGAAAAAGTAAAAGATAAATCATGAAGCTAACTTAAGATGCTGAGTCTTTCTCTCGTCCCTGATGTTAGTTCAGTTCACCTGCATCCCCCGTTTGACTAATTTGGATGTGAAGCTGGAGCGTTCGCTAAATGCAGGACTGGATAGTGTTTTGCTGGACTGGATGAGGCATGGACAACTGGAGCAGGTCAGACTGTACAAGCTGTGTCATTACGCGAAAAACGAAATTAAAACAACGTTGATTTCTCTCTGCTATTAGCTTTCCTTCCTCTTTAAACTCTAAAACTGTAACATAACCAAATGGAAATGTGTATGAAATGTATATGGTTATGACAGTAAAACACAGATCATTCAGGCATTAATAAACTGGATTTCTTTTCTGCATTATGGGGTCGTCTAAAGGTCAGAGTTCTGAGCTCGTGGAATCGCTCGGAGGACATAAATACAACCAAACTGGAGCTGAAACATCCATTCACCTCTGCGCTCAGACACCTGTCGCTGCACACACTGACGCAAAGCTCACGCAGAGACCGACGCAGCAGCCACCAGGTACAACCGGAGCTTCACACAGTTGTCTTATATTTCGTCTGCGATATTGATTTCAATTCAATTTATTTTTATTTAAATAGCGCTGAATAACATAAACAGTCACCTCAAGGTGCTTTATATTTTAAGGTAAAGACCCCACAGTAATAGAGCGAAAACCCCATCATACAACCCCCTATTAACAAATAATTGGCAACAGTGGGAAGAAAAAACTCCTTTTTAACAAAAACCTCCAGTAGAACCAGGGTGAAGGAGGGGCAGCAAACTGCTGCGACCAGTTAGGAGTGAGGGGAGAAAGACGGGACACAAAACAAACTGTGGAAGAGAATCAGAGGTCAATAAAATGACGGATAAACACATAGACAGAATTGCAGTTACCCCTTCAGACTACAGATAAAAGATTTTTACCTAAAGTACTAATAAATGCCAATAAATGTATAAAAACTAACAATGATAGGGGTATAATGTACTAATAAATGCCAATAAATGTATAAAAACTAACAATGATAGGGGTATAATGTTTGTGTGTGTGTGTGGGGGGGGGTTATCTGTATACAGGCCCATTTGTCATGGGACGGTGTGGTCCCTGTCAACGTTTCTCTCAGCCTGAACAAACAGTGGCAAACCAACTCCAGCAGGGGGCAGGCATGCGCTCTGTTTACAGCCCAACAGGTTGGTAGATACTCCGCAAACCTCTCATGAGTCACCAGTCATGTGTGCAGAATAGTCAGGAAGTTTGTGCAGCATCAACTTACTTAATGTGT